TTAACAATGTTAGAAATATATATAAGGAATGTAAATTTGTATCTAAGAGGGGAAGAAAAACAAATACAATAAATTTGCATACCCAATCTCGATTGATCCACTGTTATAATATATTTGAACTATAAGGAAAAAAAAAGATTCCCTTCGTTCTATATTTCTCTCACTATTAGGGTTTTGAACTTTTGAACTTAGGGTTTGGAGTGGAGTACTATTTATAATGCGTAAACCTCTTATTTTGATTGGTAAATAAGATAGGTGAATTTGCCAATAAGGAAACTCCTAAGGTGTATGCTCACCAGCCTTCTTAATACTTGATATATGTCCACAGGCATAACCATGGTTAATTGTTTAATTTGATTTACATAACTATGGTTACACTTATGGACACGTGTCAAGTGTTGAGAAGGGTAGTGAGCATACACCTTGGGTTAAAGTGGTGAGCAAAAATGCTTCCATTTTGTAATGTGCTAGGATATTATTCCCTTAGGTAAATAGGATTTTGTTTTTGTTTTTTCGGAAAGTCTTATACATATAAATGGAACTTTAATTTGAGGAAATACACATATTCACCCACTTACGTAGTCCCCCTTCAACTCACCCTAGCCTTGCGCCTTTTGCTTTTCTATCGAAAGCTCTAAGTCTTCACGCTCGTTTGAAGAAATATGACTATAATGAGCACAAATACTAAACTTCAAATACTATTTCTTTGTTTATGTTGCTAACCCATGTTAAGCTACGATTAGATGCAATTGATCGTCATCAAGATACTATTTTAAACAATAACAAATATATATATATATATATATATGTTGGATCAAAATTAGGAAGGAAAAAATAGAGAGAGAACTAAACAAATAATTTTAATTAAAAAATGAAGTGGGACACCTTACCTCTACTCATTAAAAAAGACATGCTAATCTTTTTCTTAACAACAAAGAAACGATATAACTCTGTAAGTCGTTCAGGAAATAATGAAGTAAGCTCTTGTTCCACTTCATGCATTGTCTACAAAAAGTGTTTAAACTGCTTTATTCTATCATCCTTAACAAGGATTCTTTCAAGCACAAATTTGCATTGGAGCTTACACAATCTTCCCCCGGGACTTCTTTGAACATAATTTGAAAACTACGCTCCACTTCATTATGAATGGTACTTATGTGCTGCAGATCCAAATCTCACGCTTCAAAGTATCCCCTCCCCCCAATTCAGCAAATATATGAATAATATTTCTATAAAAGGGGTACATGTTAACGATGTTAGAAATATATATATATATATATATATATATATAAGGAAGATAAATCTGTATCTAAGAGTGAAAAAAAAAAAAAAAAAAAATCAAATCAAATAAATTGCATACCCAACCCCTATTGATCCACTACCATAATATATTTGAACTATAAGGAAAAGAAATAAAAGTTCCATTCATTCTATATTTCTCTTGATGTTAGGGTTTTAAACTTTTTATCATAAGGTTTGGAGTGGAGTACTATTTATAATGCGTAAACCTCCTATTTTGATTGGTAAATAAGATAGGTGAATTTGCCAATAAGCAAAATTCTAAGGTGTATGCTCACCACCATTTTTAATACTTGACATGTATCCATAGGCATAACCATGGTTAACTGTTTACTTTGATTTATATAACTATGGTTACACTTATGAACACGTGTCAACTGTTGAGAAGAGTGGTGAGCATACACCTTGGGTTAAAGTGGTGAGCAAAAATGCTTCCATTTTGTAACGTGTCAGGATTTTGTTTTTATTTTTCTTGGGAAAGTCCTATACATATAAATGAAACTTTAATTTGAGGAAATACAAACAGCTTGTTTGAAGAAATATGACTATAATGAGCACCAATACTAAACATCAAATACTCTTTCTTTATTTATGTTGCTGCCCCATGTTAAACTATGATTAGATGCAATTGATCACCATCAAGACACTGTTTCAAACAATAACAAAGAAAAAAAATATATGCTAGATGAAAATTAGAAAGGAAAAAATAAAGAGAGAACTAAGGAAATAATTTTAATAAAAAAAACATGAAGTAGGATACCTCACCTCTACACATTAAGAAGGACATGCTAATTTTTTTCTTAACAACAAAGAAATGATATAACTCTGTAAGTCGTTCAGGGTATAATGAAGTAAACTTTTGTTCCACTTCATATGTTGTCTAAAAAAAGTGTTTCAACTCCTTTCTTCTATCATCCTTAATAAGGATTCTTTCAAGCACAAACTTGCATTGGAGCTTACACAATCTTCCCCTTGAGACTTCTTTTAACATAATTTGGAAAACTACGCTCCACTTCAATATCAATGATAGTTAAGTGATCAAGATCCCCCCCCCCTCCCCAATTCAGTAAATATATTAATAATATTCCTATAAAAGGGATACATGTTAACGATGTTAGGAATATATAAGAAAGGTAAATTTGTATCTAAGAGGGAAAGAAAAACAAATACAACAAATTTGCATACCCAACCCCAATTGATCCACTGCTATAATATATTTGAACTATAGGTGAAAAAAAAAAAAAAAAAAAAATTCCCTTCGTTCTATATTTCTCTCACTGTTAGGGCTTTAAACTTTTGATCTTAGGGTTTAGAGTGGAGTACTATTTATAATGCGTAAACCTCCTAATTTGATTAGTAAATAAAATAGGTGAATTTGCCAATAATCAAAATCCTAAGGTGTACGCTCACCACCTTCTTAATAATTGACATGTGTCCATAGGCATAACCATAGTTAATTGTTTACTTTGATTTATATAATTACGGTTACACTTATGGACACATCTCAAGTGTTGAGAATGGTGGTGAACATACACCTTGGGTTAAAGTGGTAGGCAAAAATGCTCCCATTTTGTAACGTGCTAGGATATTGTTTTTGTTTTTCTTGGAAAAGTCCTATACATATAAATGGAACTTTATTTTGAGGAAATACAAACAGCTCATTTGAAGAAATATGACTATAATAAGCACCAATACTAACATCAAACACTCTTTCTGTGTTTATGTTGTTGCCCCACGTTAAGCTACGATTAGATGTAATTGATCATCATCAAGATACTGTTTCAAACAATAACAAAGAAAAAAAATAAGTTGGATCAAAATTAGAAAGGAAAAAAAATAAAGAGAGAACTAAAGAAATAATTTTAATTAAAAAAAGCATGAAGTGGGATACCTCACATCTACTCATTAAGAAGGACATGCTAATATTTTTCTTAATAACAAATAAATGATATAACTCTGTAAGTCGTTCAGGGAATAATGAAGTAAGCTTTTGTTCCATTTCAATTCATTGTCTACAAAAAGTTTTTCAACTCCTTTCTTTTATCATCCTTACCAACGTTCTTTCAAGCACAAATTTGCATTGGAGCTTACACAATCTTTCCCCGAGACTTCTTTGAACATAATCTCGAAAACTATGATGCACTTCATTATCAATGATACTTAAGTGCTCAAGATCCAAATTGCACCATTCAAAGTAAGGTAAATTTGTATCTAAGAGGGAAAGAAATATAAAAGAGGTACATGTTAACGATGTTAGAAATATATATATAAGGAAGGTAAATTTGTATTTAAGAGGGAAAGAAAAACAAATACAATAAATTTACATACCCAACCCCGATTGATCCACATCCATAATATATTTGAACTATAAGGAAAAAAAAAGTTAAAATTTTATGATATATTTAACGAATAATTCTACGATAATTATCCACAATAGAATTGCCATTCCACACTTGGCGATGAGTCTGTAAATACTCAGTTAATGACTACATATCCCTTCGTTTTGTATCTGGCTGCTGCATATCCCTTCGTTCTTTATTTCTTTCACTACTACGGTTTTGAAATTTTGATTCTAGGGTTTGGAGTGGAGTACTATTTATAATGTGTAAACCTCCTATTTTGATTGGTAAATAGATATGTGACTTTGCCAATAAGCAAAATCCTAAGGTGTATGTTCATCACCCTTCTTAATACTTGACATGTGTCCATAGGCATAACCATAGTTAACTTTTTACTTTGATTTATATAACCATGGTTACACTTATGGACACGTGTCAAGTGTTGAGAATGGTGATGACATACACCTTGAGTTAAAGTGGTGTGCAAAAAGGCTCTTTTGTGTAACGTGCTAGGATATTATTTCCTTAAGTAAATGGAATGTTGTTTTTGTTTTTCTTGGAAAAGTCCTATACATATAGAATATGGAAAGTCATGAATCGAAGGAGTTAGGAATAAGAAAGAATGAATGGGTATGAGATCAACTATTGTCTCCTAATTAAATCTGATTCTTGATTCTTTCAAGTATCCTATACATATAGAATATGGAAAGTCGTGAATCAAAGGAGTTAGGAATAAGAAAGAATGAATGGGTATGAGATCAACTATTGTCTCCTAATCAAATTTGATTCTTGATTCTTTCAAGTATTTTATGACGGATTTTAGTTGAACCCACATAAATTATTGTTTTATTCCTTATATATTTGCAAACGTATAAAAATTCATGAATTAAAATGATTGCAGTACTCATATACCCATGAAAAGTAAGAAATGAGAATAACTATATAATTTTATAAAAGAAAAAAACATGACAACTATATAATAGCTCTAAGTACCATCTAATAAACGTAAGACATGTAGAATATTTCCAATGTAGCTAGCGACATATCATAAAAGGTAATACAGTAAGTTGGAGAATTATTCCACATGTCCTATGTATATTAGATGGTACATCAGGCATGTGGTGTACCCAGAAGATATATCGCACGAGCTTGAGTGAGCCCAGCCCAACAGTAAGAATTAATTGGTAATTATCGCAAGAGCTTAATGTCAAACTCGTCATTTACAACACCGAGTTGTGAGCTCGTGAGTATAAAATCGCCAACTACAATCCCTTGCGAAGTCGATTTTGGGGGTTTTAGGGTTTTTGCAATACGCACTCTTTCACTTTCTCCTATAACTCTTCCAATTTACAAACCAAAGCCATGACTGCTCAGACCCAGGAAGAGCTCCTCGCGGCCCATCTCGAACAGCAAGCCATCGATGTAAGTCTTAACTCTCTCTCTCTCTAAAGATTAATGGTTTTGTGGTGCCTCTGTGTGTATTTGAGTGAAGAGTCGGATAATTTGTATATCTACATGTTGTAAATGCCAGTGCTTTGCTTTACTTTCTTTGCCACTGGAAGACATCATTTGCTGAATTTCTGGATGGATTTGGTAGTTAAAGTGAAAACTTCAAGTGGGTATTGAATGAAAATATTGTCTCACTTATTTTGTCTTGTTTCTATATTTTTATATGTTCAATCATATTTTACTTAGTTAACATATAACCTTCAAATTTTATGACCAAAGATCTCTTGATTTGGTAAATTACCTGACCCAAATTGATTTTAGTGAAGGTATATATAGTTGAACAGATGCCAAAGAATGAAAGTACATGCAATGAAACACGTTTACATCAAAATTATTCTACCTAAATGTTTTTTCTTTTTCAATGATGCCAATGGATATCAAAATTTGGATATTTTTCGTTATTACTTTCTCTTGTTTTATTACCTTTCTGATAATAGGCTGGGATCTTTAACTAAATACCTTTTGTTGGCAGCCTGATCAGCCAACAGTTGAAGAGGAAGATGACGAGGATGACGACGATGAAGATGATGATGATGACAAGGACGATGATGAAGCTGAGGGTAAGTTTATTGTCAAGTTTTTTCTTAGCATCCCCCCTCCCTCACTCTCCGGCCTCTCTATCCGTTGTTAATAGGATGCATATGCATTTATTAATTTTCTGGGCACTAGTTATGTGGACATGTAATAATTTTTTGTAGGTTGGAATGTAAGCCGTGCTTTTAGTTTTAATAATCAAAATGTATTATTTATACATGAACTCTCTACCATTTAGATTGTCAAAATTTGTTATCTTTCACATCACGGCAAGTCTGCAACATATGAGCCATCTAGTTGGGTTGTTTGATTTTACATTAAAATTTTAGTATGGGATACTCTAGCTTATAATTTTCATCTAAGGCCACAATGCTCTAGTCATACACGTGGGCTTAGAAAAATGAAATATTAGAGTGAGGCTAATGGTTTGAACAAATGAACTTCCAATGGTATTTGATCATACAAAATGAACGAAGTTTGTTAATTTACAGTTTGGGTCATGATGCTCCTACCTAAGACATGTAGACATTCTCATTAAGGACACAACCTCACCTGGTTTATTCTTGTTTAACATGTTAACTTTCTAATTATCTTCTCATTGTTTCCCTATGTGATCAGGACAACAAGATGGAGAGGCAAGTGGGAGGTCAAAGCAAAGCAGAAGTGAAAAGAAAAGCCGCAAAGCAATGTTGAAGCTTGGAATGAAGCCCATTCCAGGTGTTAGCCGGGTTACAGTAAAAAAGAGCAAGAATGTTCGTGCATTTCCTACTCTGATCTTTTTTTATTTGATTCCCTTTTAAAATTTTCATTCAGATTAGTATATGGCTTTTTTGTTAACATAATATCTGTGGCTTTAAATAACCAGATCTTGTTTGTGATATCCAAACCGGATGTTTTCAAGAGTCCAACTTCAGACACATATGTTATCTTTGGTGAGGCAAAGATTGAGGACTTGAGTTCGCAACTACAGACTCAGGCTGCTGAGCAGTTTAAGGCTCCTGATCTCAGTCATGTGATCTCCAAACCTGAGACCTCAACCCTTGCTCGGGATGATGAAGATGTAGATGAGACTGGGGTGGAACCCAAGGACATTGAGTTGGTGATGACACAGGCAGGAGTATCAAGATCAAAGGCTGTAAAAGCACTGAAGGCTGCAGATGGAGACATAGTTTCTGCAATTATGGAGCTTACCAACTGAGTTTTAGATATGTTTTCTCATTTGATGGTTTTGTTTTTTGTTTTTTTTTGTGGTTTGTCCAGATCTTTTGTGCTTGAAGTTGGTCTGGATTATTTCCAATTTAGTTATGTGTTTCTCAACCTTGTTGTATCAGTGACAAACTGAGAATTGCATAAAACTGAGCCATGCCCATTTGAAGTTTAGTAGCTGTAATTTTTACTGATTTGTGGTCAAGTTGTCAAGTTCACAACCATAATTTCATCATGGTATGACGCAAGTGACAGTCCCAAAGTAAACACATTCCATGGATTCCATGAAACCATAGCGCAAGCCCTAATTGTGCCTTTCTCTTGCTTCCAAAATCTCGACTGGTTTTGGAAATTTCATGCCTATTTGGAACTCGTTTTTGGCAAGTAGATCAAACGTTGTGAAATCGATAATCTGGTGATGAGTTTGAAAATGGACGGTACTTGGTAAATGTTAATGACAGGCTCCCTGGGTAAGCGTTTTAGGTTTGCCTGTGGCTCCAAAGTACGGAATGTTGGTTTTGTTATCATCTAACCGGGGCTGGAAGTCTGTCCATGATTAGGGTTTATGGGGTGCAATTGGTAATTGGATGTAATTTGGAGTTGGGGTCAACAGGGTTGAGTACAAATCTTGTATTGGTAAGATACAAATTCAGCTTGTGCAAATACGACAGAGCATGCTGGGTTTAGGGGACATCAAGAACGAGAAAAAAAGAACATTAGATTTTATTGTCACAAGCTATGACATTAGATTTTTTCAATATATGAAATATAAGTTGATTATATCAAGGGATTGCAACTGTGGGATGACAAATCTTGTTCCTGGTACCTAGTTTCTAACCTGAATTTTTTGGTTACAGTAATCAACCATAATTTAAATTTAACAAAATTTTCTTTTGTTTGGAAATCGAGAAATGTTTAACACCCAAAAAGAGGGAAATAAGCCCACAAAGACCAGGCTAAATTTCAGTTTGTCTAGGGCAAGTAACTCCAAGAAGAGGAAGGGCCATTACCACCAAAGCTCTCCCGTTTTCATGTTGAAGCACCATACTTGTACCACCTCTCCTAGCTCCTGCATTTTAAGCCCCATCAACGTTCAATTTCAAAGAGCCTCAATCCGGTTGCCTAGCCTCCATCTGGCCTCTGCCTCCACGAAGGTTACGTAGGCGATGTGGCTATACAGACTCCCTGAATCCTCCTGCTATCTGCACAGCACGATCAAAAGGCACGTGGGGTTCATCAGGGATTTCAGCATGCACCAGCTTATTATTCATGCCATTCCGTATCTTCCACACGACATATACCTATAATTTTGTACCTACATGTAGTTTTATGATAATGTACTAGTCATGCTAGGAAGACCACATTATTAGACCACCTTATAAACCATCTCTCTCTAATAGAGGTGGAGGAGTTCACCAATATAATAAAGCCCCTCTCTATTAGATCGGTGGTTAACAAGGTGGTCTATAAACGCGGTCTCCCTAGTATTTCCCTAATTTAATTATTATTGTTTATGATAAGGTTCTGCCATGGAGGCTTATTTTCCTGTTCTATTGTCAGAAGAATGATATGGAGATCAGTTCACAATCTCATCCACACAGGCTTGCGTAACTACCAGATGCATATAGTAGTCTATTCAACGAATTTCTTGCTCAGAATCGACGCACTATATCTTAGTCAGACCAAAGGAACAAAAAAACAAAAAAACAAAAACAAACAAACAAACAAAGAAGAAAAGAAAAAACACAGCCGAGAACTGAGATCAATTAATAATTGACAATGTATCACAAGTTTCATTACATCTGCATAAATTTGGTTTTTCAGAAGCTTCCAACAACAACAAAAAAGTAATAAAAAAAAAGGATTTTCTGGAGCTTGTGCTGCATAAAAGAATTTCCAACCGACCCATTCCTCATGACCTGCAAATCACAGTTTGACACTTACAAAAATAATCCATCAAAAGTACAAAAAGAAAAGTTCATGCACATATGTCAAACTGTACGGAGGAATGAGTCTTTATATGGAAGGAGACATGTAATTTATTTTCCAAAGTGATCATCGCTTTTGGCCATGACTACTACCTCCACAAGTTTCAGAATAATGAAAGCAATTGGTGAAATCATATGCAAAAACCATGGGCCTTCTAGTTCTAAGAGTAAGGATACTAATACAGAGAAAAGCAAGAAAAGTAACTTCAGTCTCAAAAGCATCCTAGTTTGGTGGTAAAATTAGACCTGTATACCAATACGTACAAGTACAATGATAATGTATCCAAGCATTTTAACTTCGGGAGAGCCTGGCTAAATGAATTCAAATTGGGTATGCATTTAAAGTTAGTTAAGAACCTCACGAGATAATGCAAGGCTGATGGTTTAATATAGGTAAGATGACAGGAGGCATTCTTAAAGAAAACATCGTTAAGAAGGGATGTTAAAATATTATTCACCATATTTCATACATGTACATACTGCCCCTGTATACGGTAATGTACAACCATGACCTACCCGGCTGTGATCACTAGTGCAGGCAACAAAAATATCCCCTCTTAGAGATGACTTAAAATTTACCAGCACTGGAGCCTTTGAACGTATGTGATCCATAGTAAATCCCCCACCATCTTCTTACCAAAGGATCTCAAGCATTTCTCAATGAGGCGCAGTTGTTCTTCTGCTGTCCTCATTTTGAAAACATTACAGCAAACAGCAACATCATTTACTGGCTCCAATAAAGTCCTTTTCAGTCGAGAAAAAATCCATCATAGCAGAGGACACACAAAAATACCCTGTACAGAATCAAGATTATCCTAAAAGTACCAATACTTTTAGAAAACCAAAGTTACGTACAAGGACTGTACCCATTAGAAAAATCAAGATTATCCTAAAAAATTATCCTACTGAACTTCAAGCGAGATTAATATGAGGTATATTTTTAACTTAATGAACTCTTTCATCTGCCCAACTTGTTGCAAAAACATTAGAACAAACACCACAATTTTCTGCTTCATATCCAGAAACATCCATCGCAGCAAACTCATCCACTGGAAAACCAGAATTTGAATCCATTTCAATTTCTCAGTAACAAAAACCATTCAAGAATCAAAAGAAGCCCCGACGTCTAGCCAAAAAGAAAGCAACATTAGAACAAGACAAACAAAAATGGAAGTGATAGAAAAGCCAAAATGTATCACTAGCATATAATGCCTTTGATTCTAGTGGAATGGACTCTTTGATATTATTCCCTTTATAGATACAATTATAAATGTCCACTTGGAAATATAAAATTATTAGTAAAAGAACAATGGGCAGTCGAAACTAACTGATTATGCTTAAAACAGTGTTCTCCTTCTCAACAGATGCAGCAAGGACTTCATGATACTAACAGAAGGTATAGCTAATAGCAATCGCAGTCCAAACATGCTCTTAAACCAATTAAGTGCATGAAGATGGAGTTTCGCTTTTTATTATTTATGTGCCAGATATTAGGGAAAAAGTTGTATAATGCGAATGAATACGTATAACGAATCAGAAAACGAGAGTCAACCAAACAAATCTAAATGATTACATATAAAAAAAGAACTCTAAATCCAGAGCAAAGAGACAATAGTTCAATACAAAATTTCACAGGTCCCACTTACTACTGCACTAAGGAATCTCTACTGTCTCTTCCTTAGAACTATGGTATATCTCCAGTAGGTCTGGGACTTCATTCAAATACTTAAGAACAAAATTATCCAAAAATCTCCTCTCACTTTGTGTGATCAACCAACACAGCCTCTTGTTGTCCCTTTTTATCAGCTTCTTAGAAACCAAAATCTTGAAAACATTATACCTTGGTAGAACTGTTTTCTCAAAACCATGCATAAGAAGCAAGGGATTGGCAATCATAGTCTCCGGTTCCAACTTCACAATGTTCAGAAAGAAATCCATGACTCTCCCAAGTTTCTCCTCCGAACAAGCTAAACAAAATGGTTGGCGCTTAAAAACTGACAGAACAACATCTTCAGACCACCCGTAACTCTTAAAAAATTCAATTTTCCTTTTCCATGTTGACTCTTTCATAGAGATCATAACTCGAACAGCCCGGACAAACATCGGACCAGTCGGGTCAATGCCCAAATCTTTTATTGTTCTAACTGCATAAGCCATTCTGTCAACATTTTGCATTACGGTCCTTGGCTGAAACAATATCATTTTTGTTATAACATCTAAGGGAACACCTTCACTCTGCAAAAGGGCCACATTAGGTTGAATTGTACCCACACTATCCATGTTTAACAGCCATGAAGAGCGCTTGGCCGCCGCCAACATATCATTGGTTGAAAGCAATTTCTTGAGAAATTGAACTGCTGGTTTTATGTGAGAATCCAAACTCCGAGTCAAAACGACTGGATTCAATAAAACGAGCTCTGGCAGATTCTGACCCACAAAGCCATTTTCAATGAGAAAGTTGAATTTGGGCTCCAGATTGTTGAGTACCTTGTAATGGAGGATTGTGGGCCGCTTGGTGATCAATTTGGCGATTTGGGCATCATCAAATCCGTTGGATTTCAAGAATTTGAGCACAGAATCTATCCGATGGGTTTGCTTCTTATCAATCTGGAGCTTCTTGGAGGTTGAGATTGCAGATTCTAAAGGAAGCCCGCATGACTGCACCAGGTACTCAACTGTAAAAGATGAACATAATGCAGATGTAGGCGTTGGTAATGTTGCAAGAAGGCGTTTTGTTACTAAAGAATGCAGATTTCTGAGGACAATGTTAGCCATTTTGGTAGCCGATGTTCACACTGTGACACAAATTTCCCGTTCTAGCCAGACCGGAAAGATTGGGATCGAATAGGTAACTAGGGTTTTTGCTGGGCTTTTCGGTAGAGGGGAAAACTATTTGGACCCGACAACAGTTAAACTAAGTACACCCTACATCAGGGCAAAAGTGCTTCCTAGAGAAGCAGTGCTTCTTAGAAAAGCAGTGCCAAACAAGTCCTAAGTCATTTTTTTGTCCTGTAGTTTATCAATTTACCATTTTTGTTCCGTAGTTTCAATCAAGGTTTTAAATATCGAGGGTTTCGGAAATATCGGTGGTTCAAAAACACGGAAATATCGATGGAAATATCGGGAAAATATCGATATCGATAAAAATTGGATAAAAACCATGGAAATTGTGATAAATACATGAAAATTTTTAATGAAACTTTGTAAAAAGTTTATTTAGTCAATAATCTCGTATTTTAACACAAAAGATTGGAAGGAAATACTAAATATCCTAAGCTCAACTAGCCAACAAGCCCAACAAGCTATACTAATAATATCCCAAGCCCAACAAACCATACTAAAATACTAATATACTAACCCTATCTATCTAATCCCATCCATCACGTCAGTCACTCTATTCATTTCTTTCTTTTCTTTTTCTCACTTCACTCCGTCTTTCTTTCTCTCATTCTTTCCATTTACACCTCTCTGTGACTTTATTCCTTTCTTTCTTTTCTTTTTCTCACTTCACTCTCTCTTTCTTTCTCTCATTCTTTCCGTTTCCACCTCTTTTCCTCTCAGTTTTTTTTGTTCTGCCACTTGGGGCAGTCATCATCACAAGAGAGATGTGAGAGCCCACCATGAAAAAACTGTGGTTTTGGAGCTCTAAGCTCTCTTTCCTCCCATTTCTTTCTCTCCTCTCATTTCTTCTTCGTTTTCTTTTTCTCTCTTATTCTTTTTCTTTTCTTTTTTCTTCCTCTCTTTCTCTGATTTTCTAGTACTCTGAATTTTTTTTATAGTAAATTTGGCTTACACCCTTCAAATTCAATTTGCTGTACAAAAAACCCTTCACTTTTTGTTCCTATAAATAATACCCAATTTGTATAAGTAAAAACCCATGACTAGGATCCAACTCAGCAAGTTACCTAATTAAGTATAAAATCTGATTTATTGTACTTTTCAGATTCCAAAAATACCCCCAACAAAGCCATTATTGCATTTTGTATATTAATGTAGGAATCAATATGGAAACAGTTTTTAATTGGATTGTATATAATGACAAATGTTGAATTTGGAAAGATCTCCAAATGGTTGTAATGGATGTATGAATTAATTTTGAAACATTTTTTAAAAAATTTAACAATAAATTCAAATTTAGGTAATCGGTTTGTTTAATAAAATGTTTATGTTATTTTCTTTTTATGAATTATACATGACTAATAATCCACTTTATAATTGTTTATGAATAAAACTGTACATACTAATTATGTTGAAAAAATAATGTACCTATTACTTGTTTGTTTTATGAAAAACATAATTTACCTAGTATGAAAAGTGTACATAATTATCTATTCCAAATAATGTACCTATACACATTTACAGGTATAGTGTAAAATAATTTACCTGTGGGGTAAATAATGTACCTATATTTTATATAAATTATTGTGTACCTATTTTTAATTATGAAAAATATACGCAATTACAAAGTAACTGATTTTTTTTTTTTTTTTTTTTTTTTTAATATACATATATTTTATATGTATATATTTATATTATATTTTTCATAGGTACATTATTGGATATGTAATTTACAGATTTTTTTTTTGTTGTTGTAATTTTAGGGGGCGAGATGTGAGAGGGAATGACAACTAAAAGAAATGGGGTGATTGATATGCTATTAATAGGGAGTATATTAATTACAATTATGGCAGTTAATGAAATGCTTGAAATAAATTATAAATAAAATATGAAGTTTGGTGGCAATGATGTAAAAACATAGAAATACTACGACCTCTTATATCATACTAGTCATTTAAATTTGAAATTGGGTTTTACACATAGATTTATATAGTGATGGGTATATGTCAAGGAAATAGAAAATGTAGGGATCTATATTGGACAAGCCCCATTTTTTTTTTCTCTCGGTTCTATGTGTCTATTTCTCCCTCTATATCTCTTTCTTTGCAGATCTGGGTTCTTGAATATCTTGGGTTAAGTTCTTGAATATGATCTTTTTTATTGTTCGGATATGGAATCTGATTTTTCATGAAAATTTAAAGTTCAGTTGAGGTTCAAATATGTTTTGCTGGATAGTTTATTTATTTATTATCTTTTAAGGTTCATAACTTCAGATCTGGTTTTCCTTGTATGGACTCATCGATTGGTTCCATTGATGTTTCTAAAAGTATGAGTTAGAAGTTGGAAGCTGGGATGCGACGTTTATGAGAATTATTTCATTTTTGAAAGTTCATATCGCGATATTATCAATAATATCGCGATATGTTGACCGTTTGCAGCTGCCATTTGAACGAAAATATCGGTACCGAAATTATCGATAAATTGACGATACATAAATGGAAACCTACTAAAATATCGTTGACCCTAAAAAACGATAATTTCACTGAAATATCGGTGAAATTATCGATATTTTATTCTCTGGTTTCAATACACATTCCAATTCAAATCCCTCTCAATTCCATTATGTTTTTTAACCACTCGTCACTGGGGGGGGGGGGGTGGGGGGGGGGGTGGGGGGTGGTATTATTATGAGCATTTAAGCTAAGTTTTTTTCAATTCACTCAAATTCTAACCCAAAAATAAATTTTTTCACAAAACTCTAAGCTCAAAAATCAGGCATAAAGTAAATGAAAATAATTCGAGCTTATGTTTTATCATTGGATAGTTCGAATGGATTGAAATATCCCTCACGAACACGTTGTCAAAACTTTATAAAATTGGGAAGAATTAAATAGAAATTAAAATGTGCTTTTGAATTGCTTCGAATTGAAAACTGAAGTAGTAAAAGTCAAACTCTGCTGGCAAAAAAAGAAGAAGATAAAATTGAAACTATGGACCAGTGTTAAAAACGATAAAATACATCGACGAAAAATAACAGTTTGCCTCTTTCTTTTTTTCTTGTATTTTTTAACTTTAAAGTCTCGAAATCTCCTTTTCCATAAAGCTTCCATTTCGCTTGTTTTTGCTCTTTGTACTCTCAGTTAATCAACTCCTGGATTGCCAACGGGTGTAGCCCAGTGGAGAAAGACCTTACCGATTTGAAACTAGAAGTCTCAGATTTGAACTTCGATAAGATCATAATTGTGTGTGTAGGATAAATCTTCATCCCCTATAATTTAGACTATCGCTTGTACTCAAAAAATCAACTCTTGAATCAATTTCACACAACCATTTCCTGAAACATCTACACCCCCCACCGCCCTGTGTCCCCTTTTCTTTTTCCCCGCGAACCTCATTCTCTGGATTGATAGAGCTTGCTAGAACCCCTTTTGTTTTATTTTGATTTTCTTTTGAAACTTTGATCTAGTTGATTTGGTACCAAAAGACCGAGAAAGGAAGAGGAAGGTGGAAATGGAGAGGCGAGGGCGTGGTCGTCTTCAACCTCGAAACGTTTCTTCTCGAGAATCAACGGTTTCTAGCACGAACAGGTTCGCTTCGAAACCCAACTCGACTCCCAAGTCCTCGAGCAGAGTTGCAAGTGGCGGTGAAAAAGCACAAAACGACGGCGTGGATGACCCTTCCGACCTTCCAGCCATTGTGGGTACTTGCCCTTTGATGTGCCCAGGTCAGCTTCCATTAACGCTTCCTAATTGTCTTCTTTTGGCTGATAGATAGCTATTGTTATTAATATGTTGATGCCCTTTTTTGATGCGTGTGATGTGATGTCTATGTAGAAAGAGAGAGAGCCCAGCGAGAACGGCTTCGAGATTTAGCAGTGTTTGAGAGGCTAAATGGAAATCCTGCTCAATCATCTCCAGACCTTGCCGTTAAAAAGGTAAGACTCTACCTTAATTATCCTCTCCTAATTCTGTTTGGTAATTCTTTAATAATTATGGCAATGAAAATTTCCATTTAAGATGAAATAGAAATCAATACTACCTGAAAAATTCATTCTTTGCGATGTCATCACTAGTTTTTCTTTTTTTTTTTTTTTTTTTTTAAAAAGGAATTAAATAAAGTAAAAAACACAAGGGATAGAGAAATGAGTTTTGTTGCTTCACCACCTGTGTATATAAAAGTTGAAATTAGTCACTTTCTTAGATTTCTAGAACCTCACAAATTAGTATTAATCAAGTTGATTTGATATCAAGGAAATTATTGGAATATAAATTTGAGAACTGCATATTAAATATGTATATTTTAGTTTCAGAGAACAATGTATTTTGGGTGGGGAAGTTATTATTTGGTTAGGTTAGGTCAGGATTTGATTCCCTCCATTTTAATAAGAGAAAGGAAAAAAAAGGATAACAATATGTTGAATTATCACTGTAGCTAAACTTGGAATACCATCTGAATTTAAGCACATCCAAATCAGAATTATTATGTGGCCAAGCTCAAAATCATGAAGTAGAATGTCAAGTGAATGCCTACATGATGGCAAACCCATGCAACCAAATGCATATTAGTTATCATCTGAATGCAAGAAGTTGAGAGAAGGGAATTGGATTTTAACAAGAATTACAATGATTGGAAGAATAATAGGAATGTTATTTTTTCATGCATGGTAGATAGAAAGAATTGATTTCACAGGATAGCGAATTTCCAACTGTTACTTGGAACTTTAATGCTACAACCCTTCACATGTAATGCAAATAGAAGCTAATACATGCTTTCTTCCACTAGTTTTTCAGAACTATATCCACCAAACAAGTTGAAGCATCAGATGTCCGGCCGCTCCCTGTGTTGGAAGACACTTTAAATTATCTTTTAAACTTGTTTGATTCTAGAGAATATCCCTTTGAAGTGGTTCATGACTTCCTCTTTGATCGAACAAGGTCGATAAGGCAAGATCTTAGTATGCAGAATATTGTCAACAATAAAGTAATCCGCATGTATGAGAAAATGGTAAGAGTTTCATGCAAAGCCTATATCTCCATATTCTGAAGCTTTGTCTTCATAGTGTGCCCTATGCAGTTAATTTTTCATTTCATAGACATTTTTTTGTTTGTTGATTGTTTCCATATGTTGTGCAATTAAGTCATTACTTGTTGAGTTTCTCCTCTTCAATTCATGTTATCATATCGTAAATAGAAAAGAGTTAGCCACTGTCTTGCGCTGAAAACTGTAGTCTTATTTATCAACACAAAAAGCTTCGTTCTTAATGCTATTACCCTGATAAAGAACAGTATTTCTACATGTCAACCAACATTTCTGCAGCTAGTGAGATTGTGTGTTGACAGCGGCTTGGTGCTTAAGTCAAAGCACAAAGTTGTTGTGTATTGTTTTGATGTTTATTTTAGTGGGCTTATGACATAGTGGTGCTAGTATGAAGTACACATCTCAAGTTTGACCTTATCCTCATCATTTTCCAAGAAAACATAGATTTAACAAGGAAAATATGGGAACTGCTATTACTGAATTTTGTTTTAGGAATCAACCACTTTTGTATTAATTATGGGAATACAAATATTCTAGTAATAATTGGAATACATGTATTGTATAAATTATAGGAATGCACGTATTCTTGGCATGAAACACTTGTTTCGTTATGTGACATGTATTTGTAGTTTAAGGATTTTTCCTTCATCATTACAGAAAGTAAAAGTTGAAGTGTTCACATGTAAAGGGAACAAATGGTAGAAATCATCACAGAATGTTGCTAATTAGTAGGCCATAAGAGGTCCTTCTCATTTGATGCTCTTGCCATGCTATATTCAGTTATTAGTAGCTGTGTAATTCATTAAACTAAACCTTCAAATGTGGAAGGAACTTATTTAATTGGTAGTACATAAATTGTTATGGATTTAGATCTCTTAATGTTAGAAATACCAACGCTTTGTTAATTACAAGTTTTTATGGTGTAGGTCAAATTTCATGTGATATCTCTTCACAAGCTTCGGCGTTGTAGCAGTCAAAATACTTCTTCAATGAATTACCTTAACAAGGAGCAGCTTGCAAAGACTCTGACATCTCTATTTAATCTGTATGATGCAAATCGAGATTCCAAATCTACATATGAAAATGAAGCTGAGTTTTGTTCGTTTTATGTGCTACTTCATCTTGGTTCTAACGGCCAACCAATGGTTAATCTCTATTGCATTTTCATTTTTTTTTTCATTTTCTTTATTCTTTGTTGCTGTTTTGCATTGAGTTTTATATATGTGAAATATAAATTGTTCTGGTCCCAGGGGGAGTCACTTTCTTGGTGGTTTCGTAATGTTCCTTCCACGTTGATGAAATCTAAGGAAATTTGCTTTTCCCGAAAGATTTTACGGTAATTTCCACTTCCCTTTATTTTATGTGCTTTGCTTAATTATTGGAAATTGTTTTTTCTTAACGTCTATCTGAAATGTTTTTATTAGTATTCTTGTTTTGAAAACTGAAAGATGGTCAGCTTCTGCAACAGATTTTTCCGGATAGGCAACTATAATTGTTTCCTAAGCACTGTAGCAGCTGAGGCATCTTATCTTCAATACTGCATTCTTGAACCTTATGTCAATGAGGTAAATGAATTTCTACAGTCTTAACCTATGACTTACTATCCAGGTTCTTGTCATAAAGACCTCAATAGAACAGTATGTTCATTTTGGCTGGTCTTGCATGGACTGTTTTTTAGTCTTGTTGAATGATAAATTCCCTGGCTCTGTGTTGCTGAGATGATAAGTTCTTATTGACAAATGAAATTGTTTCTGAAGTTCTTGTTTTCTCTGTTTGTGTGGGTGAGAATGAGAGAAAGAGAGAGGTATCCTGTTTACATCTGTTTTTATATGGTTATTATATTTCTTGGAGCTTGGGTTTTGTTCATCTTAAGTTCCAAATCTTGTTCAATTCTTTACAGTTTAATCCACATCAATGCTTGTGATGACAAAAATCGTATCTTGTTTTGTGGTTGTTAACTTTAAAAGGTTCGAGCGCTAGCTGTGTCATGTATAAATAATGGTGGATACAAGCTTCATCCATACCCGCTGGCAAACTTATCCAAGCTCTTGATGATGACGGTAGATTATCAATAACTCAAATGTGCTAAAATTTGTTATTTTGATATTTACTGTTTGCTGAGATTTTCAAACCTGTATGTGGTTTTTCAGGAATCAGATTTGGAATCATTTTGCAAAGCTTGTGGTCTTGAGATTTGTACAAATGAAGAAGGATATAATTTGTTACCTACTAAGCAAACCACCTTTTGTCATCCTAAGGATGGGTTTCACAGCTATATATTTGTGGGTTTGGAACAATTTGAGAGGTAACTTTAAAACTTGGTGGCACAAGTCCTCCAGTGACAAAATCCTACACCATCATAGGCTCTTAGCTAGTGACTGTTTCGTGACCAAAGATCTTTAGGGATGAAAACATTAATAATTCAGTTGCCACTAGGCTTGAAAGATTATAACATGAGAGAATGAAAAAAAAAAAAGTGTGAAAACTTTAGCAATGAGTTATTTTCTTACTGTTCTTAAACATAAATTCGAGAACTCTTCAGCAAAGATATTGCAGATAATTTTATTCATAAAACAGTTTTAAACAATTATCAGTTAGTGTTTAAAGTTAACAGTGGATTATCAATTATGGAAATAACTTTTATTAAAATATTTGAATCCAATAACGATAAATAAAAAGAAATCCCAACTAATATTTTGATTAAATTACAGTTCGAAATAGGCAGTGAGATATTGTTCACAGATTTGTTTGATAAGCCAGATTTTCTATTTTTAGAACTCATGTTCAAGTACATCATTTCAATACACTCAGATTTTGTGTGCAATATGGTTTATTGACTTTCTAGAACATCTCCTGGGGCTCTTGGGGAAACTGAAAAAAAAAGAAAAAGCAAATGTCTACCCTTAATGAGACCAATGGTTTCTCTCTCTCTCTCTCTCTCTCTCTCTCTCTCTCTCTCTCTCTCTCTCTCCTGTCTTTCATTTTGAATGCTTTAGGGTGAGAATTAGACATTGATTGTGAAGCTAAATTTTAATTTTTTAGTTTTTGTTGTTTAAAACATATGTTTCAGCAATTGCCCCTTAAGCATGGTGTTTGAATCGGGTTTGCATGTAAGGGGCTTGATATTTTTCTTATCATGTATTTTGTTACTTTTGTCATTGACATGTGTACTTGTTTAATTTCAGGTAATAAATGCACAAATCTTGTCCAAGGCAGGGATATGGCCCTCTTATCATCTTTTATCCTGTAGACTTGGTAAGAGGGCCTCACGTCCCACGGTCCCTTGATGAGTATAAGAAATAAGTTTCCGCTAAACCAAAGTATAAAAGATCTCTTTGGTGCAGCAACCAAGGGTTGCCAATAGTATGATGCTCATTTTTGTGCTTACACTCTAATGAAAATGAACAATGACCTGGATGGAGAGGGCAAAGTACAAAAGTAAGCTTATTGAAAGTGTGGTTTCTGTAAGTTTATTTGCATTTAACGAGAATTCATGGTATTTAAGTCAAAGATGTGAATATTACATCAGATTCATCATTAGAAATGAAGTATCTATTGTTTATCATCTCAATGCTTTTATTTAAAGGGTGGATTGGTTGACAAATTTCGATTATCAGCTTGCATGTGCATTACTGCCCTCTCAAGTGGGAGAATTTTTTGTTGCAGTGGTACTCTCAAGCCAAAAAGAAAGTAGAGTGGTGTTGAAGATTCTTCTGGAGAGCAAGTTCTGCTTCTTGTAAGAAGTATTTAACATATATATATTTTCACATTTCATCTATCACCCATGCAAGGACATGTAGATGTTTGTATTGCACAAGGTGGATGAAGGCTTATACGACGTTTAGGGCTGCATGTATTTAATGTTCAAGTGAGATTGACGACACATCTCGTTGAAGATAAGAAGCCAATCCTTAGGTGACAAATTTGTAAGAACTTTTATGGGGTTGCAGCAAGAACTTATGTTTTCAGGTACTGAAGCAAATTGTCCAACCCTTAATTTACAGCATGGTGGCGAGTTCCCATTATTCTAAGAGAAGAAAGAAGAGGTTCAAGTCTCCTGCCAAGAGGAAGGAGTTCTTGAAGAGGTTTCAGCCTTGGAGACATTGATGATGTGCACGCTTCTGTTTCTGCTCAAATGACTGTTTTGATGATGTGCAAATGTTGTGTTTTTTTGTTGAAATGCACCTTTGTGAGAGCCTTTTATGTATTGCTATTTTAATGATGTGCAAATGTTGGAAAGACTGTTTCCAAGTCCGTCGGTTTAGGACAAGGCTTGTTAGATGGCTATTAATTTGATCAATGTTTCCAGATTGAAAGTGATGTTATAAACTGTTGGTGGGAAATTGAGGTTTTTTCTGCCTTCTATGGTGGAGAAACACTCTCATGCAACGGAGATATCATTGCTATCTTCGGCCAATAATGCAACAACATGTGGGCTAACTTTTCCACGTGTCATTGTGTTATTGGCTAGGGATAGCAAAATAGTGCTATGCCCGTTACAAGAAAGTTTTTGGCCTATGGTGAGCAAACTAAATTGGGGTTGATTCACATGGGCTAAGGCCTTTTGCTACAGATGAAGTCCACAATTCCACATCACCAACTGAGATTAGTGGGAAATTGTACATCTCAAATGAATTTACCAGAATAGTTGTTCACCCCATGAGGAGAAAGTGGGACCAAGCACTCGAATAATGTTCTGGCCTCCCTTCTTGCTGGATCAAGTTTATAGATAGTTAACTTAAGGCTCAAGTAACATGCCCTAAAATGATCCAACTTTTGTTTTGTGATAGGTGTGCTACTACTGAAACTTGGATAAGAATTTAGGCTTCTTAGTTATAATGCCCCTTGAAACTTGGGTCAAATCTCACTTTGCATCCTAAAGCTGAAAGTGACCTATATACCTCATTTGACAAACGGAGGGGGGTGATGTGCCTTATATGTACATGCCCGCCTCTATTTAGCACGAGGTCTTTTGGGATCTCACTGGCTTCAGAGTGGGGGAAACTTCGAAGTTAAGCGAGTTGAGGTTAGAGTAATCCCAGGATGGATGACCCACTGGGAAGTTGCTCATGAGTTCCCATAAACAAAACTGTGAGGGCAGAGAAGGGGGGTCCAAAGCGGACAATATCATGCTACGGCAGAGCCGATCCCGGGATGTGACTTGGAGGAAGTTGCCGGGCCATGTCATTTTAAAAACTTCCTAGGTCAAAACGACGTCGTTTTGCCCAGGAATTAAAAAAAAAGAAAAAACAGAAGCGCGTTGCTCTTCTTCTTCCTCCTACAATTCATTTCTTCTTCAAGAAAAACGTCGAGCACCTGGTGTGCAGTTCCAAGAGGTCTCTCCCCAAGCTCCAAGGGACCTCTAAGCCAATTTTCATGGCTTCCATGAGGTCGTGCGACCCCACTGACCCACTATAGCTCCGCCACTGTGATACAAAGGTCCTAATGGAATTCCTCTTACTGGTTTGAAAAGGGAGTACTCCAAAATTGCTTGCTATACAATATCTGAACATAATGAAGCAATCTTAAAGGGCCAAAAGAGTTTACATTACTTCAAAAGTGCTTATCCCTTACATATCTATCTATTGCCAAAATTAGTTCAAAATACATGGCCAAAAGACTTCCCAAATAGACAATATATTGGCAAAAGACTTCCAAAATTACAGACATTTCAATTCCCCTTTCTACCAAAATAACACACATTTCAAGTCAGTTTTCTACCAAAATAACAAATATTTGAATCCACAATCCACTTGACTGCCACTTCAATATCTCTATAATTCAAATTGCTTGAGGAATGCCTTCCTATTTGTTGAAAACTTGAATCTCTTTGTTGGTGATGGTGTTGGTTGGTTATATGATAGTGGTTGTGAAGGCTAAAATGATGGTGGTTGTGAAGGGCCTTCACTAAAGGTTGAGATGATTGCAAACTCTGGCAGGTTGCTTCCCTTTCTTCTGACTTGAAAATTCATAACAATAATACCTGATAAGTCTATATTTTATATATATTTTATGCCTCCTTTACTTATTTATTTGTCAATTTCCTTGAAGTAAATTGGATGTTTTAATTGGTTTTGTGAGATTTTTGAAGGAATTATGCAAATAGGAGAAAGTGTGGTAAAAAGAACAATAAGATGAAGATTTCATGCAAATCAAGTAAAGAAGCCAAATCATTTCTTTTGTCGCAAGGAGTGTTGTCAAATTTCCTAATTCAAGATGGTTCAAGTCTTACCAAGTCAAACAAGGAGAAATAAAAAAGACCTTATATTAGAAGGAATCCTATTTTTATAACAATTGTAATTATACTTTAGATAGGTAGGATTTCTAGGAGTATTATAAATAGGGAGTTTCGGCCATTGATCAAGGGATCCTTCACCATCAAATTCCTACACATTCATACTCATAGTCGAAACAACCAAAGGAGAATACGAAGAGAGCTTGCGCAACCTCGGCGTTTTACTTGGAAAATTTGGTGCCTTCCATGTCTTCATCAACCATCATGATTCTCAATAAGTCATTCATGAACTAATTTCTTTTACTAGGGCTACGATATAGCCTAGCTATGAAAACTCAAATTCTTTGATATACCTAATTTAATTTATCTATACATGTTCAGTGCTTGTTACTGTTCTTAATGCTTCAATTAATTGACCACTAATTACATGATTGGAAGAATTGGGTAGAGATCGGAAGGAGATTCCTAATAAAAAGCTTCTTGTAACAAGTACCATAAATTACATAGCCTACTCAGAATATTAGGTTATGGTTTGTGTAGTCTTTAATATTTTCCATAAATCTTAATCGGTTCTTAGCCATCTAAATTCATAACTAGGAATATAGTGGGTTGACGGTACGAAACACAATTAATATAATTTGGAAGAGAGTATTGGTGAGGTAAGTAAAAACGATTATCAACATGTTAGGTAATTAGGATTAACAAGCTAGAAGGATTTGGGTGAGATTAGTTAGGTGAAATTGGTGTCCTAGTGCTTCATTATCTTTGTTTTCATCTTTTACATTATTTACTTAATCTCAATTTATTTTACTTGCTTAATTACATTTTCGTTATCTTAATGCTCTTATCGTTTAATTCAAATATAATTAGGAATAAATCACTTTAATATTTAATAGGTTGACTTGATCCCTGTTGGAACGACACTTTATTTACCACTATATTAATTTGAGCGATATTATCCACTTGCAATTTAATCACATCAATATCCCATGAATCTGCTAGGTGTTGACATTATCCACTTATAGAGATACAATTTTATTCCACTTACAGGTACTTTTTCCCTCCTCTATGTTGAAATGGTATGTTCTGCTTGCTTTTTTGTCCTTTAGTTTGAAGTGCTAGCTTGTTTCTGCTTGGTCTTTTTTTTCCTTGACACTTGACCAATTAAGAAAACCACATAAGAAAATTGTAAAGCAACCACAAAAATTGATCATCAGTTATATGAATGAAAATTAACCTGACTACTACTTGCTCATTAATTCTTCTCTATTTGGATACTTCCTCTTGTTGTGGCCTTCTTGTTTACATATCGAACACTTGATCTCAGTGTGATGCCTTTGCAGCTTTGTTCCATTAAGCTTAAATCTTTCAGCCTCACCAGCGGATGGAATCCTCTTCTTCCTAGGCTGGAAGTGCTTGTGATCTTTAGGTGGCAGTAGAGGTGGGAGGTTAGACTTAAGCCACAAATCCTGGCTTGTCATTGGGTGAAAAATTGGGTTATAAGCTTTCATATAAGCTTCTTTCTTATAACAATAAACAACATATTGAAAGTGATCTCCATGTCTTTGGCCTATTGTAGCACAAGCATGCTTACATGAGATCCTTCTAATATCCCATTGCCTACAAGCACAACTGTGCCTTGCCAAATCAACCACAACTTGACTTAAACCATGATTTATGACTTCATACTTCCTCTCCCCAACCAGCTTAAGAATGCACCAAGCAGATTTCTTCTTGTGTGTCTCAACAATTTTAAAAACTCTTGGACCTACTGCATGCTTTCACTTTTCACAATGTGCTCTTCTACTTGTCATCAACAACATAATATAATACCTTAGTAAGCAGTGTTAATATTGGAGCGTCTCTTGCATCAGTTATAGAACCATTGAAAGCCTTACAGAGGTTGTTCAAAAGAATATCACACCTTGAGTGAGTCGTAAAGTGAGATCTACACCACAAGTGTGGGTCTAAGTTCACTACTACAAAAAGGGCCATAGATGATGGGAATTCACCGTCGTCTAGCAAGTTTTCAAACCGTCATGAAATCGACCGACATCTTTTTAAAAACAAAACCACGACGGTAAAACGGAGACATTGTTCATAGATAAACAACGTCGAAATAAATAAAATATGACGTAAAAGTAAAGAAAATGACCACAAAATAACTAATTGTGAACCATTAAACGATTCAATTTGGGTCACAACCGTCGTCTAAAGAAACAAACATGACGTTGTTTAGTAAAATACCACCTAAAAAAAAAGCCACCCAGAGTCATAAACAATTAACCGCACGACGTTGATAATGACATTCCACGACACATGATGAAATATTACGTCACTTTTGTTTCCAGATATGATGTTGGAAATGATGTACACCGTCAGTCTTAACAAAGAAGTTGGCGTATTAAAGGTCGTACACACGTCTATTAGTAATCAGAGACAACGTTAGGAGAACATACCACGACACCTCTTTTTCCACAAAAAACGTTGTTTTTGAACTTTTCACGACACATGGTCAAAAAGTAGACGTGAAAACTGTTAATAACGTCAGTAAATATGGGAATAAACAGGTTCATATGTCTCTTTTACTTTAAACTCTGACGGTGAAATATGATTTACAATGTTAGTTATTATAAACACAGAGTTGTTTGTCTTGATACAACGTCGTATAACCTATAAACACTGACGTGGTTAAGATATACTACGTCATCTGTGTTTTAAAATACGAAGTTTGTATGTAATATTGAACGACACATTGTCACCAGGGAGACGTGAAAACTATTAATGACGGCAGTAAATATGGGAAGAACGAGGTTTTTACGTATCCTTTAATTTAAATGTTGACGGTGAAAGGACTTACAACGTCAGTAAGAGTATAAAATGTGACGTGGTTACAATTTTCTACGTCATTGTTGTTTCTAAAGACTACGTAATTCATTTTCTCACCAAGTCCTGAAGACATAAATTGACGTGGTATATTGTAAAGACGTTTCGTAATAAGAGTGTATCGTCGTGTTTGTGATGTAATACAACGGTATATTTTTTACGAGGTCGTTTTATCTTCTTTTAAATGTCGTCATTTTTTTGCCTTCCTGTTGTGATATCCTGTAACAACGGCTTTTCATTACCGTCATTGTTTTATTATTATGTGCAGTCTTTTGAGTTAAATTTTAGACGGCAGTAAGTGCATCAAGGCCATCTCATTGGAGACGTACAACTTTTTAATGTCCATTTTTTTAAACCGACGTCTTTAGCATTTTTTTTTTTTTGTTTTTTTTTTTTTTTTTTTTTTTTTTTTTTTTTAAAGGTTTTTCCATTGCAAGACGTATGATAAAAAAACGACGTCTGATACTATTATGACGTCTGTTTTTGCAATAATGTTAACAGGACCGTCGTATTTTGGTACTTGAACTAGATTGTTTTGTACTGAACGCTTCGAGCCCAAACCCTGTATAATGAAAGTGAAAAAAATGCAATAGAATTTCTTACAAAATTAATGTCATACACAGCCATTTAGAGCGTAAGTAATGTCTTAAATTACAAGCATCATTCAATCCATTTATCTTCAAACTCATCTCGAATATTTTGACTCCCAGACTCGCCGGCTAGTTCATCAAATGTGTCAACATTTGGCATCCCTCTAGTAAATGGCTCACACTCAATTCTCACATCACCTAAGACATCATCACCAATAACATCATTATATTCTCTATTAGGCATTGATAACACTACTGACCAACCATGATGCATTGGGTCATCAACAAAAAATACTTGTTTGACTTGAGAAGCCATAACAAATTGGTCATTCCTATGTCCAATTTTACTCAGATCTACAAGGGTAAATCCAAGTTCGTTGACTACAAGGCCAGAAGTGTTATCTATCCAATCACACCTAAACACTGTGATTGTAAACTTTTGGTAATCCAGGTCCCAAATATCTTGAATGACACCATAAAAACCCATATTTGAGACAATTGGGTTCTTATCCTTGGCACTAGCAACTTGCATAGTATGTGCAAGTAAATAAACTCCACTATTTTGAACTGCACGCGCATCATCTTATGCCTTGGTGTTAAATTTAATACATTTGATAAGATAGCTCCTATATGATGGCACTGCCATGCTTGGACCAGCTGCTAGCCACCTTAAATTTTCTGATACACCATTATTGTCTTCCCCATTAAGTTGACTTTGAACCTGCAAATGAATCATATCTTAATTCAATCTAACATAAAAAGAAGAAAATTAAAAGTGCAATACGTTATTCAATTTCATATACCTTAAAGCGTAGCCATTGAATGAAAGTGGTATTGTGCTTATCTTGTAGCCACTTTGTTCTCTTTCTAAATTTTGGATAAGTGGTCTTGATGTGGATCATATGTTCTCTAAATAACACGAAAAATTCAAGCATTACAGTCCCAAACATATTAGATAAACATAAGGAATATAATTTAAAATGATTACTTAAGAATAAAACTCATACTCAATATAAGGTAGAACTTCCTCTGTATTCTCCAAGACATATAGATGTGCCTGATTCAACAAGTCCCGATCAACTAAACTCACTATGCAACCTGATAAGGGCTTTGAAAGTCTCATCTTCTGGCTTGATGGCACTCCAACCGTACTAACATCAAATAAATGCTCGGTGCAAAACTCTACAGCTTCTTCAACTATATACCACTCAACAATGCAACCTTCAGGATGATTACGGTTCTGAACATACCCCTTTAGCACTTTCATATATCTTTTGAACGGATACATCCATCTAAAATAAACTGGCCCACATAGACAAACTTCTTTGACAAGATGTACTACTAGATGAACCATGATATCGAAGAATGAAGGGGGAAAGTACTTCTCAAGCAAACACAAAGTTACTACTACATCTTCTTCTAACTTATCTAACTTGGAAACATCTACCGTCTTTGCACATATATCATTGAAGAAGAAGCAAAATTGAGTTATTGCATACCTTGTAGGCTTCTCCAGGACAGAACGAATTGCCACAGGGAGCAATTGTTGCATCAAGGTATGACAATCATGTGATTTAAGCCCAAGAAGTCTTGAATCTTGTAAAGATACAAGATTTTTAATATTTGAAGAGTAACCTTCAGGGACCTTCATACCATAGAAAGAATTGCAAACCGCTTTCTTATCTGCTATTGACAAATTCCAAGGCCCTAGAGGCAAGCGAGTACGTCTTTCTCCATACTCGGGTTGCAAATCAGTCTTGACCCCCATGTTCAATAAATCCAAACGAGCAGCAATCTCATCTTTATTTTTTCTAGGGATCTCCAACAACGTACCAATGATACTATCGCAAACATTTTTCTCGATGTGCATAACATCAAGGGCATGCCTTACATGAAGGTATTTCCAGTACTTGAGATCAAAGAATTTTGACTTTTTCTTCCAACAAACTCTATCACCATCATTTTCACTTCCACCTCCCCCTTTTTTCGAGCCCCATTTATAATTAATACCTTCAACCATTTGTAACACTTCTTCTCCGGTTAATGGCTTTGGAGGCGTGTCATATTCAGGTTTCCCATTAAAAGTTGCACGTTGCCTCCGATATGGATGATATATTGGTAACCATTTTCTATGCCTAATGTAACATATTTTGTGGCCATTTTTCAACCTATGACTAGGTGTATCATCACCGCATATTGGACAATCTTTATATCCTTTTACGATACAACCAGAAAAGTTTCCATAAGCGGGAAAATCATTAATTGTCCACAGTAATGCAGCTCTAAGTGTAAAGTATTCTTCTATATGAGCATCATACACTCCTTTAATCTCATCCCACAAAGATTTTAAATCATCAATTAAAGGCTCTAAGTAGATGTCTATATCATTTTCGGGTTGTTTCGGACCGGAAATCAATAAGGTCAACATCATGAACTTTTGTTTCATGCATAGCCATGGTGGGAGATTATATGTAACTAAGATAACTAGCCAGCAACTGTATCTGGTACTTAGAGAACTGTGGGGATTGAATCCATCAGATGAGAGAGCCAATCTCAAGTTTCTTAGCTCATTACCAAACTCGGGCCATTTATCATCAATGAGTTTCCAAGAGGGAGAATCAGCCGGATAAGACATCTAACCTTCAATTGCTTTTCTATCAGCATGCCAAGTCAAACTCTTAGCAGTCTTGTGTGATTGAAACATCCTTTTAAATCTTGGAATTGGTGGAAAATACCACACTACCTTTGCTGGGACACCTTTTTTCAAGATTGAATCTTTGTCTTCCTTCCATCTTGAGATTCCACAAGTAGGACAATGAGTTGAATGTTCATACTCCTTCCTATACAATATGCAATCATTGGGGCATGCGTGGATTTTCTCATAACTCAGCCCCAATGCACACAAAGTCTTTTTTGCCTCATACATAGAGGAAGGTATTGTATTTCCTTCTGGAAGCAATTCTCCTTGAAGTATCAACAATTCTATAAAACAGACATCACTCATCCCATGTTTTGCCTTCAAATTATATAACTTCACTAATGCCTAAAACTTGGTGTACTTACTACAACCAGGGTACAAGGGTTGATCTCCATCGCCAATCACATTGGCGAAATCATAAGGATTGGATCCAACATCGCCTAAATCATTATCATCCATCTCTATTTCTTCAGACACAAAACTGTACCTATTATGTTCATCATCTTCTTCCACATTTCTACTAGCATTAGTAGTTGCTTGTCAAGGTTCTCCGTGAAATGTCCAATTCTTATAACTTTGGTCAACTCCATTAAAGTATAAATGGTCCCTTATAATTCCAACCCCAAACAATCGAACATTCCCACATTTAACACATGGACAGTGAATATGTGTTGTGGTTAGAAGATTTTCTATTGAAAATTTCAAAAATGCTTCCACCCCTAACTCATATGCCTTCGATCATCTATCCATGTGCACCCATGACTTATTCATCTCCGACAAAATACCCTATTATTTATAATAAGGTGAAAAGACAAGCAATGACCATCACTATAGCAGATTATAATTACTTTGATAGAAAGTAATTTCACATAAAGACGACAGTTTTTTAAAACATCCGACGTTTTATACTTATACATACGTCGGTTTTTGACAAACCCGACGTTGGAAGCTATTCAACAGTGATTCTGAAAACAGCAATACAGACGACGATAGTTAAATAAACACCGCCTTGTAGATAAATAAAGACGACGATTTTTAAGAAAAACCGTCGTCAAACTCTTAAAGAAAAGGAGGCTAAGTCTTCTTTTATTCAGACCATTTCCAAGAACCCAACATATGTTAACAACCCATAACATTGAATTTTTATGAAAAGCATGCAAATATTAAATCCATTTCCTATTCATAACAACATAGATTGATGAAGAACATACCTACGAAAACATTAAAAGATCGCAAAACATATATCTAAAACCCAACAATGCAATCTATGATTGTACTTCAGAACCCAGAACTGAATATATCTAAACCCTAAACATATATCTAAATCCATTCCCTAAACCCTATATGTTTGTACTTCAAAACCCAAAACTGAATATCAATCAATGAATTAAGAAGCAGGATATTAGGGTTTGTACTTACAGGCAGGCAGAGCTCACATATTATGGCCTCCTTGGATTAGAGTTGAAGTGAGAGAGCGAAATGTTAGAGTTGAAGTGAGAGAATGAAATGTAGACTTAGAGCGAAATCTAAAAATTTTAGGTCGCGGCGAAATTTTTAGAAAGCGCGCTTCTTCAAACATTGACGGAAATCATACACAACCGTCATTAAAAAAAGGATTAATTATGTACATGCTGCTTTCCAACTTATCTCAGATTACCACCTGTGGTGGAAAACGTCTCAAAGTACCCCCCAACGTGCAAAAAACTGTCTCGCGTTACCCTTTCCGTCAGTTTTTTTGAAGTTCCGTTACGAATGTTACTGTTCATCTCTCCCAAAATTCCAGAACAGTAACCTCTCCCCTTTGTTACTGTTCATCGCTTATTTACCCTCAAAAACTCAGAAATTTCTCCTAACCAACACAACTAGCAGCAAGAACAACTCGAGAGGTTGAAAAATCATACCTGGATTGAAGAAAATGGTGCTCGGAATCGCCCGAACGAGCAATGAAGATTTTGGGTAAAAACCGGCCAATTTCTTGCTTTTTTCGGTGATACAGACGACGGTTGGCAGCGGCTGAGATGTGAGGGTGGTAGAGGACAACGTGCTGGTTCTTTTGATATCAATGTCGTCGCTTGGGGTGGCCGGAGGAGGCGATGGCAGCCCAAAAACTGGTGCGATGAACAGTAACAAATGGGAGGAGCTGTTGTTCTGGAATTTTGGGGGAGATGAACAGTAACGTTCGTAACGGAACTTCAAAAAAACTGACAGAAAGGGTAACGTGAGACAGTTTTTTGCACGTTGGGGGGTACTTTGAGACGTTTTCTACCACAAGTGGTAATCTGAGATAAGTTGGAAAGCACAGGGGGCTTGTACATAATTAAGCCTTAAAAAAACGTCGGTTAATATATGAAATATGAGGTCGTAAAAACATTAGACGTCGGTAACCGACGTCGAATCCAATAAATAATATTCCTGGGATTTGGATTTGCTGGGATTCGAACGCATGAGCGCAAGGAACAGAAAAAAAATACAACCCTGGCGTCATACTAAACCCTAAACCCTAAACATTAAATTATAAATTTGTAAAACAAAATTGTACAAAAGGTTTAGGGTTTAGGGTGGTCATATACTAAACCCTGAACCCTAAACCCTAAACCCTAAACACTAAATAATAATATATTTTTACAAAAAAATTGTAAAAAAGTACAAATGTTTGAGAAAAATAAACCGAAAATTGCTACGGACTCCTTACGACAATGCCGTCTAAATTAGATTGCTAAAATCAGTATTTAAAATATATATATATATATTTATCCCCACCAATGAATGACACAAGCCAATATGATTGTTTGAAGAAACTATATGGGATGTTGTGATTTATTTGTTTATGTGGACATTTTTCATTTTTATAACTCAAATTACATTTTTAAAAGCTTTAGGACAAAGAAAATATCATAATGACTGCATAGGAGTTGTGGTGTATTTTTTGGAAATTTGACAAATTTATTATGAATATAATGAATATAGGTCAATAAAAAATTGTTATAACCACAACAAATCACGTCTGTTTTAAATCCATATACCGACGTTGTATGCATGTTAAACTTCGGTATTTATACAGATACCGACGTTGTAAATAATATACGACGTCACAGGATTAGGACGTTGTTTCGATTCTCGTAAGTCGCCTATGGTATTAACCGATGGGGTAAAGATCATAGACGTCACACAACTTATAAATAAACCGACGTTGTGGTGTAGTTCAAAAGTTAGAAAATAAGTCAAAACTGCCACTAAATAATATATAAGATGTCAGGCCTATATAAAATAACGTCATTGTAAGTATTTGACCACACGACGGTTATTAAAAAAGATGTCGTTGAAATTGCATAAGACGTCGTTTGTTATCAAGTTATCGAAGTGGTATTTGCTTCATGGCTCTTTTTGTGTTAACAACGTCTTTTATTGTCTTTATTGAATTTACCGTTGTGTTACCTGTGTTTACATGTCATTTATTGAATTTACCGTTGTTTATTTATTTTCAAGTTTCGTAAGACGTCTCTTGTTGAAACTATTATGTCGTTGGAAGGGTCTTCAAACGACGGTTTACAAAGTTACTTTAGTTTTTAAAAATGAAAACCAATCTTTATTGAAACCAAAAAAAAAAAAAAAAAAAAAAAAAAACCTTAAACCCTGTACAAAAAATTATCTATTCTAAAAAAAAAAAATGTACATTTTTCATAATTGTTTGTTAAAAATCCTCTAACTCCATATGAAGGCAAACAAAATCTGCCCATTATTTCCTCACTTCTTCAATGGCTTTTTGGGGGTATGGTGCTTGATCTTTGCCCTTTTCAAACTGCAATCAATAAAACATCATTATTTAGCATTCATGACTGGTTTTGAAGGATCTGTGGCAGAGTAAATAGAATTACCGTCGTGGTATATCGATTCAAACGACGGTAATTCTATTTTCCGTCGTCCACAGAAATTAAAATCCTAAAGTTTTCCATTTACCTTCTTCTCAAACTCCAAAGAAGGATCTGTGATGATGTCTCTCATAAAGCGCATGACATAATAGCCACACTCTACACTGCTGGGTTGCTTTGGTGCGCCTTGTAGAGTTTTCCAAATAGGTGCTTTACGGCATTGTTTGCCTATGTGTGAGCAAGACCCAATGACAGCTACACAAAATAAACATAGAGGTTAAACAGTTTTATATACACTGCATCATACAAAGAAAATCATGTTGACTAACGTACCTTGGATTGTAAGGCATAAAGAAAATTTGTTCCCCATCTGTCTTTTGAAGTCGATTGGCTAACAAACGTGATCTTTGAGTTAATGATCTAGAGTTAGCACTAACTTGAGCGGGGTCAACAAAGCCAACCATGTTCACCACATTTGCTATTTTCAATACATCAAATAGGCACCTACATATATAAAATGATGTCATGAGTTTTCTAATTTTTTTAAAGAAAGGAGAGTGTGAAATGACAATGAGTTGATAAGGACAAAGTATAAAATTTCATACGACAGAATATAAAAACAACCGACGCAATAATACTTATATAACAACGGTAGTTAACTACCGACGTGGTTTGAAAGTAAACGAAGTAAATTTATAATATTCATGACAGTGGCAAGAAAATATAAAATACCGTCATGGTTTTAAATTACAAACGTCGTAAAATATAAAATACCGTCATCTATAGCATTGTTTCTAGACCTTTTGCTTCTTGTCTTTATATTTGGAAAACTTAAAAACTTAAATTGATTTTCAAGAGGGAAAAAAGTAATATATTTTTCAACAAACGTCGTGGTTTTCAATTACAACGACGTTAGTTATAAAATACCGTCGTCTTATTAATTTGAAATTCATAAACTGTTCCAAGACCGTTTGGTTTACTACTTCAAACACACAAAAACAGAGTAGACTTTATCATCGTGGTCAATGACACTTTGTTCTTTGTCAGTAGATTTTATCCTAAAAGTAAAATGATTTTCGCATGAACAGGAACAAAGATGAGAAATGCTTACCTTTTGCTTGCAATGAAAGTTTTCGCTTGGAGTTGCAAAACAAGAAAAAAATTATTTTTCAGGGACGAAGATGAAGAGGAGAGGAAGCCGTTGAGATTCAGACACGGCGCTTTCGAAAGTAAAAATGAGGATAGCGTGAAATTTTTTCTCGGGTTTGGAAACAGTATAAATGTAGGTCAGGAAAGGCGAAACGTTTCATAACATGACGCTATTAATTACAACTGCCCTAGTAAACTGTTTTACACGACGGTGTATATGTAATATACACCCTGGTAAATTACATTACACAACACAAACTATTAATTACAGATGTTGTCGTAGTATATTTTAAATAATAAGTCGGTAAGTTTATCATTACCGACGTCTTTAATTTCTATGTCAGTTACGTAATAGATTCTGTCATTGGTTTTTCGCTCTGAGATTAAGATGACGCATTTTATTTGTTTTGAGTCGTGGTGTTTCTAAAAAACCGCCCTATTATGTTTTTACTACGTCGTGAAAATAACATAACTACGGCGTTAAGTGTAATATAACCGACGTGGATTTGATTTTTTTATATTTATAAATAGAGTTTTTTTTCACGAGTTCTTTCAGTTTTAGTTTTCAATTAGGGTTCCAACTTCTTCTTGCCCTTGGCGCTGTCTCACCTCTTAGGAGGCAATTGTTTGGATGTTGGTGTGTGTGTATGTTTGTGTATCTGATTCACAAACATACACACATCACCAACGTTCAAAAAATTGTCTCTCTGAATGCAAATTTGTGGCTGCCGTTGTCAAATTTGAGGAGGCAATTGTTTGGATGTTGATGTGTGTGTGCGTTTGTGTAGATGCACAAACGCACACACATCATCAACTTCCAAAAAATTGACTCTATGAATGCAAATTTGAGGCTGCCGTCGTCAAATTTTAGAGGCAATTTTTTGGATGTTAATGTGTTTATGCGTTTGTGTATCTCAAAGACACAAATACACATACATCATTAACCTCTATAATATTGTCTTTCTGTGGTCCGATTATGATGAGGAACAGAGTACCATTTGGTAAGATTTCGTAACCCTTGGGATCTCAGAAAAATCGGATTCTGTCGGCGGTTTTCTATATAAACCATCGTGGTTATTCTCAATTCTTGTCATTAAGTTGATCTACTGACGTAGGATAACAAATTCCAAGAAATAAATAGTTTAAAAAATTCATGTTAAGACGACGGTTTAAATATAAGGTAAGACGTATAAAGTGAATAAATACGACGGTAATTTTAAGTTCACAACGTATCTCTTGGGATCTCAGAAAAATATGATTTTGTCGGTGGTTTTCTATATAAACCGTCGTGGTTATTCACAATTCTTGTCATTAAGTTGGTATACCGTCGTAGGATACCAAAATCTAAATAGTAAAAAATAATATTATTAAGACGACGGTTAAGATATCAGGGTAGACGTATAAAGAGAATAAATACGACAGTAGATTTTATTATACGTTGTTAATTGAGCAAACCAACGTGGTTAGAGTTAAAGATACCGTCGTAGTACTATACAAGAAAGAAGTCGATAAATTTATCTTTTCCGTCGTTGTACATTTATTTAATATGGCGGTATTTTGTAATATACCGCCGTGGATTTATTTGAAAATATATGGTGCAGTATACAAAAACTTGGTCGTGTTAATTGCAGAGTAAAAAACAGCGTCTGTTTTTTTACACCGTCGTCTTTACTTTCTACGTCAGTTTATTCATACCTTCTGCCGTTGTTTATTGGCTCATAGTTTACTATGAGAAAAACATTTTTCAATAAGACGTCGCTTTTTTAATTAGGTGTGTCATTTTTTAAAAACAACCATTGGAATCTCCATTTTTTAGATGTTTAAGTTATTCTTACACGACGGTTTTAAAACTGTCGTCTTTTCAAATACAACAACGGTTTTCCCTTAAACCGTCGTCTTTTCAAATACAACAACGGTTTTCCCTTAAACCGTCGTCTTTTTCACTTTTTTTAGTAGTGGTTGTTTACCCAACCTATGCTAAACCATTAATTGCTTGGAGTTTTCTCATCTCAGCTTGCCACCACAGTATGTTTGTGCTTCTTGCAATTGCCTCTATATCTTGTTTCAAAAGTAGTCATATGTGGCTGGCAAGAACAAAGTTGACTTCTTGATGTTTCAGACAGTGTTTGTGCTTAGAGTTGGGAACTAAATCATCCATTGCATCTATCAAGCCTTTTTTACTATTTCGTATTCCAAGATCGCTTGCCAATAACTCTAAAAACCATGTCTATGTGTCATTTGGGACTTAGAGTCCAAGGGTTCAATGCCTATAAAAGGCCAACTAATCCCCCAACATAAGAAAAGGGAGAGAGGTATGAGATTATTCTGACTATATGCAATATTCCTAAACGAACACTGACTTGAGCGTCGGAATGTTTTCTTGCAAGTACTCCCCTCTCATTGGTGGCAATCGAAGATGGTGTCCAGCTTTTCAGCATTGATTACGAGATTACTTGTTGGAGGACCCGAAATTTCATGCTCCAACAATGGGTGAAAAAGAAAGAAAAAAGAAAGAGAGAGAGGGAGAGAAGAGAGAAGGAAAAGAAAGAAAAGCAAAAGAGAGGAAAGAAGAGAGAAGGAAAAGAATGAAAAAAAATAAATAAAAGGAGAAAAATAATTTGTTTTATATTCGAATTCCATCAGATTGAGCCTATGAAGTCGTGAGGGGTTCATGGCTAAACCCAAATGAACAATTCTTCTTCCTTTCTTGGACTTGCTCAGTCCAAATAAATGACTATATTATTGCCAAACCCATTCAAATATCACTTGCCAAGCCTATTTCTTACCTCGGGTTTAACGTTGGGCCTAATCCCCGCATTGAGCCCACATGCACAAGGAATGGTTGAAATTTAATATTTCGTGGGAACCCAATGCATGAGCGTCAAACCCAATAGTGGGACCTACACTCTGCATAGTGCAAACCCACAGTTGATCCGCTTGTTGCATGCCTAGAACCAACCCGCATGGTGTGGACCCTAGGGAGTTTTGCATTTCAACCACCTGTTGGCCCCAAATGAGCTTTCTCCTTGCGTTTCAGATTATTTGGTAGCCCCCATGGTCTTTTCTCTTCTCTTTGCTAGCCGATCCCAAATGGACCACAGCTTTTGGGTTTCTTCTTCTTGCGCTTGAGCTGCCCCGTGGACCCCAGTGCCTTTGGTTTTTCACTTTGCTCTTAAGCCAATATGAATGGCCTACAAGTTTGGATTATTTTTAATTTTATTTAATTTTATTGTTTTTGGGAGTGGTTGCACTTGACCTGACCCGTTGGACCCTAGCGCCTTTGGTTTTTCAGCCGATCCTAGGTGGTCCATGACTTGATTTTATTTTATTTTATTGATTTGATTTTTTTATTTTTGATTTTTGATTTTTTTATTTTTTGTGGGTTTGCTGGCCAAACTCAAGTAAATAATGCCTATTATCCATGCACGTTGCTTTTTCATGCATCGTTGTCCTTGTCCTTGTCTTCACATGCAACACTTTATATCATGCATTTTGGCTTATACCATGCAATCCGGTGGGCTCCTAGAGAAATCTTGAATTTTTCTCTTGGCTTTTCAACCAATCCAGTCCATAACTTATACCTGTTGCATTCCTTTGTCGTTCTGTCTGTCCAAGAAATGCATGCAGATTTCTGTTAGGGATATGCATGTGATGGGTAAAATAGCTTTGATTGGTCAAATCAGACCAGGCCTTTGTTGCGAGAGCCTAAGGTGAATATCTGATTTCGCCGTATCAAGTCTTATCCTTACTTTTGAAAAGAACTTCTCTTCGTGACTTCTATTATATATTTTTCTCTAAGCTCATGCCTTCTACTATAAAAGGTTGGGCAATAGAAATACCTTTCATTCTCAAAACCATTCATATTTTGCTTTTGTTCCTCAGATAGGCTCTAGGCGTGAAGGGAAGGGAAAGCGTTCTCTGCATTTGAAATTCTGTTGACATGTACATTGGTGCCGGTATCCTATCACCGGCACATTTAGAGTACGTTAGGTTTCCACTTCATCCCATTTTCCATATGCTTTTGTTCTTCTTGGGTCTTCACCCCATGCAACTGAACCTAAATTCTTATCTCCTTATATCCGATTTTCTGGCCGTTGGGTTGAAGTAGGGTGTGTCCCTTACCTTTAAGGATTTCATCTACCTCCACGACTTAGCTTATGTTAGGGAAGAAAGTCGTTATTTCTTTTTTACGCTTGGGTCTAGTAAAAAGATATTTTCTTGTAAACCCACTTCCACCAAGTATTGGAAAAACCAACCTCTCTTAATCATTAGGGAGTGGGCGGTGCTTGAGATGTCTCACATGTCTATGCCATAATTGTTTGGCTCAAAATCTGATATAATGATTTATGCTTTTTGAATATAATTTATTGTGTTTTTGTGGGTCTGACTAACCTTTTCTCTTGGTAGCGCTTCCTTCGGACAAAAGGTACATCATTCCTAAGGATCGGATCGCTTGGTTGGAAGAGAACTTGGAAGGTCAGGGGTGGGATGTCACTCGCTTCGTGGACCTTGTGACTCTTATCTGTATCTCCATTGCTCATAGCACAACAATTTATTTCTCATTCATTTTGGCTTATTGGAACTTGCACGGAGTATATTTGTTCAGAATTTGTTCTGTCGACATCAAGTTTTGTTGCATTGAGGATTCAACGTCCCTTATCCAGGCCAATTTTCAAGAAAGGAAGGCTAAGTTAGCTTAGCATAGCAGCTCCAAGGATTGTGCATCTAAGTCTTAGTCTGATCATTCAAATATGTCAGCGCCACGTTCATTATCAATCTCGGGCTGTAGGGGAAGGAGATTAAGAAAAGAGATCGAGCCATCCGGATCTGCGAAGAAGTCCCGCCATGCTCTGTATGTTGTTTTGGGTTTGAGTTCGCCCAATGCTGCATCATCCTCGAGTACTCCTTCCCATCGACCTCAACAAGTCCCTCATGTTCCCACTCCTGCTAGCTCACTGGGTGAGAATGACTTCATGGCCATGACTGACGAACAGATGTGGGGCTACCAATCACACTGCTTGAGTGTGGTATGATAATGTTTAGGGTTTGTACTGATGTTATCCATTTGTTAGGTCTTATTATAGCTACCTAATGCTCATTTTCTTATGTCTCGCAAATGGCTGAAATTGGCAATGCGCAAATGGCAAGGTTCTAGGCTATGAGCCACGAGATATGCGAGAAGAAGACGACCTTCGAGCTCAGTGAGAAGCGCATCAAGGAATATGAAACTGAGCTTGAGGAGCAACGGGGAAAGTTGTAGGCCCTGAGAAGAAGTCAAAGCACTACACTGATTGAGGTTGATCACCTTAAGTAGGAACTGGTGTATGCTTCACGCGATAGGGACATGAAGTATCAGACCAACAACAAGCAGATCAAGGTTGAGATGGCCAGACAATTCAAATACTGTTGCGTCAAAGGTTAGCAGCTCCTTGAGCACCAGTTCATGGGGGATCCAAATGATTATAACGATGAGTTGGGATTGGATCCCACTGACTTGAACTATTTCAGGGTATGCATCCTAATGATCATCCTCTAATGGATTACCTCCCCCATCGCAGGACCTCGCCAGCAGCTTTTCATGGGTCGACATCAGCCCCGTTTGGGTCAGTTAGGACCAATGTCCTTGGCACTACTGCTAATGTTGGGGGTATAGGGCTGAGTGCTTCAAACCTTGATATTTTCTTCTATGTAGTTTGACCAGAGAGCAAAAAGGCATACATACCATGTTTATTTTGGGGCTGCCCTTGAGTTCGATTATCGCTTTTATTATTCATGTCAATCCATCTATTATGTAGAACATATTGGGGGCACTGATGTTTCGTATGCCTATTATGGGGTTGTCACATGGATTTCTCTGATTTTCTCTCTATTGCTGCTAGGCATAGTACACAAACGAAGCATTCAAATTTTCAAAAACAATTCTACGAGCAGAAGTTTGAAATTCTAATGCATATGATTTTTATTACTTTTGGTTTCAAGTAAGAAGTTTGATTATTCTTATGGTAACAAATGATTCTTTGACATACTCATGGGTTTCTCAATGTCATAGCCTCTATTATGAAGAAAAATCAGGATCCTTTTGAAAAGACGCAAAGAGACGTTGGCACCATCCCAACAGAACTCGCAACTGCCCACAATCATTAAGACCAATCGGTATCAAATGGGATATGCAATGACATGTCGACGGCAAATTATGCAAACCAAATATTAGCAAGGAAGAGAAGAAAGATGCCCAAAGAAAATAAAAAGCAAAGGACGAAGAACAGCAGAGCACAAACTGCATTTCTTGAAAACAATGAGCTGGAATAGACAAATTTATACTTGGATGGACTATACAGATGTGAACTATCTCATAATTCATTTTGACTATTGTTTAGAATTAAATGCGAAACTTAATTTCTTCCTGGTAAATAAGGAAAGAGGACATTGAGCCACTACATTTATATGGTGCATCGACTCTGGATGTCCATTTAACAAATGCATATTGCATTATTGGCATACACTACATTGATGTACATGTGAGAATTGTTTGTAAAGCCTATGTGAATAACCGACTTATATGCCCTGTATGTAAGTTGCATTGGATTTGCTAAGTAATCCATGTAATCGCTTTAGAAGATATGCCCACGCCATACGATTTTACAAAGGCCAATATTTTATTTGATGAAGCCATGGCCACAAAGGTGTGTGAGCAGAAAATTCAAAGGTATTTTTCTTTGTTCTTCCTGCAGTTGGGAGTTGAGAAACATTTATATATGGCTCTATGCGTGAATTTTAATATGCTCATATGTGCATTAACTAGATGCTACTAAGCCTCTATATCGATTCATCCATGGACAAAGCTTTAGAATGCATATGAATTGAAACTAATTTTTGTTTATGAAATTAACATTATTATCGTGTGGTTAGAATTTGGCAGCATGTTAACCTCTTGACTACACTTGCGTGGTGGGGGCAGCTACTGCACCACTCAAGATAAGCCATAAGCCTATTTCTATATGGTGGAGATTTATGAGGCCCAACTAAAGACAAAATCAACATAAACAGAGGCTGGACGAGAGCCACAATGTGTAGTTAGTGAACACATGCACTACCATGATTGTGAATGAAATTCAAATTCATGTGGTCGAGACCATGTTTGTGACTGAATGACAAATTCATGTCGAAGACAAAACTTGGTGGGAGACCATACTTAAGGCGGAAGGTCAAATCCATAATGAAGGCAAAACTTGTAGCCGAAGGCAAAATTCAAAATCATGGTAGAAGACCATATTTGTGGTCAAAGGCCAGACTCAAAATCATGGTCGAAGACCAAACTCTTGGCCAATGGTCAAATCCAAAGATTCTGGATTATTTCCAATTTAGTTATGTGTTTCTCAACCTTCTTGTATCAGTGACAAACTAAGAATTGCATAAAACTGAGCCATGCCCATTTGAACTTTAGTAGCTGTACTTTTTGCTCATTTGTGGTCAAGTTGTCAAGTTCACAACCATAATTTCATCATGGTATGACACAGGTGACAGTCCCGAAGTATACTAATGTGATTAATTGCAAGTGGACAATATCGCTCAAATTAATATAGTAGTAAGTAGAGTATCGTTCCAACAAGGATCAAGTAATCTATTAAATACTAGAGTGATTTATTTCTAATTATATTTGAATTAAACGAAAAGAGAATTATGATGATTAAAATCTAATTAAGCAAACAAAATAAATTCAGATTAAGGAAATAATGTAAAAGATGAAAACAAAGATGATAAAGCACTAGGGCACCGATTTCACCTAGCTAATCCCACCCAAATCCTTCTAGCTTGTTAATTCTAATTACCTAACATGTTGATAATCGTTTTCCCTTACCTCACCAATACTCTCTTCCGAGTTATATTAGTTGTATTCCTTATCATCAACCCACTCTATTCCTAGTTATGAATTTAGATCGCTAAGAACTCATTAAGATTTGTGGAAAACAATAAAGATTACACAAATCATAACCTAGTCTTCTGAGTCGACTATGTAATTTATGGTACTTGTTACAAGAAGCTATTTACTAGGAATCTCCTTCCGGTCTCAACCTAATTCTTCCAATCATGCAATTAGTAGCCAATTAATTGAAAGCATTAAGAATGGTAACAAGCACTCAACATGTATAAATAAATAAAATTAACAATATCAAAGAATTTGAGTATTCATAGCTAGGCTACATCGTAGCCCTAGTAAAAGAAATTAGTTCATGAATGACTTATTGAGAATCATGATGGTTGATGAAAACATGGAAGGCACCAAATTCTCCAAGTAGAATGTCAAGGTTGCGCAAGCTTTCTTCGTATTCTCCTTTGGATATTTAGGCTATGAGTATGAATATGGAGGATGATGGGTGATGGGTGGTTCTTTGAACAATGACCTAAACTAAAGACTCCTAGAAATCCTATAAGGTATAATTACAATTGTTATAAAAGTAGGATTCCTTCTAAAATAGGGTCTTCTTTATTTCTCCTTGTTTGACTTGATTAATCTCCAATCTTCATCTTCTTACCTTTTTTAGCACACTTTCTCCTATTTCCACAACTCTTTCACAAATCTCACAAAACCAATTAAAACAACCAATTTAATCCAATGAAGTTAACAAATAAATAAGTAAAGGAGGCATAAAATATATATAAAATATAGGCTTACCATATACACATTCCATGGATTCCATGAAACCATAGCGCAAGCCCTATTTGCGACTTTTTCTTGCTTCCAAAATCTCGACTGGTTTTGGAAATTTCATGCCTATTTGGAACTTGTTTTTGGCAAGTAGATCGAATGTTGTGAAATTGATAATTTGGTAAAAGTGCACATCTTATGAGTTTGAAATCGATGGTATTTGGTATTGTTAAATGTTAATGACAGGCTCTCTGGGTAAGCATTTTAGGTTTGCCTGTGGCTCCAAAGTACGGAATGTTGTTTTCTTCGTCATCTAACCGGGGCTGGAAGTCTGTCCATGATTAGGGTTTATGGGGTGCAATTGGTAATTGGATGTAATTTGGAGTTGGGGTCAACAGGGTTAAGTTCAAATCTTGTATTGGTAAGATACAAATTCAGCTTGTGCAAATACGACAGAGCATGCTGGGGTTAGGGGACATCAAGAACGAGAAAAAAATAACATTAGATTTCATTGTCACAAGCTATGACATTAGATTTTTGCAATATATGAAAGTACAAGTTGATTATATCAAAGCATTGCAACTGTGGGATAACAAATCTTGTTTCTGGTACCTAGTTTCTAACCTGAATTTCTTGGTTACAGTAAACAACAGTAATTTACATTCAACAAAATTTTATTTTGTTTGGAAATAGAGAAATGTTTAACACCCAAAATGAGGGAAATAAGCCCACAAAGACTCGGAAAAATTTCAGTTTGTTTAGGGCAAGTAACTCCAAAAAGAGGAAGGGCCATTACCACCAAAGCTTTCCCTTTTTCATGTCGAAGCACCATACTTGTGCCACCTCTCCTAGCTCCTGCGTTCTAAGCCCCATCAACGTTCAATTTCAGAGAGCCTCAATCCGGTTGCCTAGCCTCATCTGGCCTCTGCCTTCACGAAGGTTACGTAGGCAACGTGGCTATACAGCCTCCCTGAATCCTCCTGCAATCTGCACAGCACGATCGAAAGGCACATGGGGTTCATCAGGGATTTCAGCATGCACCAGCTTATTATTCATGCCATTCCTAATCTTCCACACGACATATACCTATAATTTTGTACCTACATGTAGTTTTATGATAATGTACTAGTCATGCTAGGAAGACCACATTATTAGACCACGTTGTAAACCATCTGTGTCTAATAGAGGTGGAGGGGTTCACCAATATAATAAAGCCCCTCTCTATTAGATCGGTGGTTAACAAGGTGGTCTATAAACGCAGTCTCCCTAGTATTTCCCTAATGCAATTATTATTGTTTATGATAAGGTTCTGCCATGGAGGCTTATTTTCCTGTTCTATTCTCAGAAGAATGATATGGAGATCAGTTCACAATCTCATCCACACAGGCTTGCGTAACTACCAGATGCATATAGTAGTCTATTCAACGAATTTCTTGCTCAGAATCGACACACTATATCTTAGTCAGACCAAAGGAACAAAAAAACAAAGAAGAAAAGGAAAAACACAGCCGAGAACCGAGATCAATTAATAAATGAGAATGTATCACAAGTTTCATTGCATCTGCATAAATTTGGTTTTTCAGAAGCTTCCAACAACAAAGAAAAAAGAAAAAAAAAGAAAAGAATTATCTGGAGCTTGTGCTGCATAAAAGAATTTCCAACCAACCCATTCCTCATGACCTGCAAATCACAGTTTGACACTTTCAAAAATAATCCATCAGAAGTACAAAAGAAAAGTTCATGCACATATGTCAAACTGTATGGAGGAATGACTCTTTATATGGAAGGAGACAAGTAATTTCTTTTCCAAAATAAGTGATCATCACTTTTGGCCATGACTACTCCCTCAACAAGTTTCAGAATAATGAAAGCAATTGGTGAAATCATATGCAAACACCATGGGCCTTCTAATTCTAAGAGTAAGGATACTAATACAGGGAAAAGCAAGAAAAGTAACTTCAGTCTCAAAAAGCATCCTAGTTTGTTGGTAAAATTAGACCTGTATACCAATACGTACAAGTACAATGATAATGTATCCAAGCATTTTAACTTTGGGAGAGCCTGGCTAAATGAATTCAAATTGGGTATGCATTTAATGTTAGTTAAGAATCTCATGAGATAATGCAAGGCTGATGATTTAATATAGCTAAGATGACAGAAGAGGCATTCTTAAAGAAAACATCATTAAGAAGGGATATTAAAATATTATTCACCATATTTCATACATGTACATACTGCCCCTGTATTCGGTAATGTACAACCATGACCTACCCAGCTGTGATCACTCGTGCAGGCAACAAAAATATCCCCTCTTAGAGATGACCCTTATCTTAAAATTTACCAGCACTGGAGCCTTTGAACGTATGTGATCCATAGTAAATCCCCCACCATCTTCTTACCAAAGGATCTCAAGCATTTCTCAATGAGGCGCAGTTGTTCTTCTGCTGTCCTCATTCTGAAAACATTACAGCAAACAGCAACATCATTTCTTGGCTGCAATAAAGTCCTTTTCAGTCCCGAAAAAATCCATCGTAGCAGAGGACACACAAAAATACCCTGTACAGAATCAAGATTATCCTAAAAGTACCAACACCATTAGAAAACCAAAGTTATGTACAAGGACTGTATCCATTAGAAAAATCAAGATTATCCAAAAAAATTATCCTCCTGAACTTTAAGCGAGATTAATATGCGGTATAGTTTTAACTTAATGAACTCTTTCATCTGCCCAACTTGTTGCAAAAACATTAGATCAAACACCACAATTTTCTGCTTCAAACGCTGTTTCAAATTCAGAAACATCCATCGCAGCAACCTCATCCACTGGAAATATAAAATTATTAGTAAAAGAACAATGGGCAGTCGAAACTAACTGATTATGTTTAAAACAGTGTTCTCCTTCACTTCTCAACAGATGCAGCAAGGACTTCATGATACCAACAGAAGGTATAGCTAGTAGCAATCGCAGTCCAAACATGCTCTTAAACCAATTAAGTGCATGAAGATGGAGTTTCGCTTTTTATTATTTATGTGCCTTGTTTTTTCTTAAATAATCATCCTACCAAAGAATTTGCCTGATATTAGGGAAAAAGTTGTATAATGTGAATGAACACGTATAACGAATCAGGAAACGAGAGTCAACCAAACAAATCTAAATGATTACAGGTAAAAAAAAGAACTCTAAATCCAGAGCAAAGAGACAATATTTCAATACAAAATTTCACAGGTCCACCTACTATTGCACTAAGGAATCTCTATTGTCTCTTCCTTAGAACTATGGTATATCTCCAGTAGGTCTGGGACTTCATTCAAATACTTAAGAACATAACTATCCAAAAATCTCCTCTCACCTTGTGTGATCAACCAAGACAGCCTCTTCTTGTCCCTATTAATCAGCTCCTTAGAAACCAAAATCTTGAAAACATTATACCTTGGTAGAACTGTTTTCTCAAAACCATGCATAAGAAGCATGGGATTGGCAATCATAGTCTCCGGTTCCAACTTCACAGTGTTCAGAAAGAAATCCATGACTCTCCCAAGTTTCTCCTCCGAACAAGCTAAACAAAATGGTTGGCGCTTAAAAACTGACAGAACAACATCTTCAGACCACCCGTAACTCTTAAAAAATTCAATTTTCCTTTTCCATGTTGACTCTTTCATAGAGATCATAACTCGAAGAGCCCGGACAAACATCGGATCAGTTGGGTCAATGCCCAAATCTTTTATTGTTCTAACTACATAAGCCATTCTGTCAACATTTTGCATAATGGTCCTTGGCTGAAACACTATCAGTTTTGTTAAAACATCAAGGGGAACACCTTCACTCTGCAAAAGGGCCACATTGGGTTGAATTGTACCCTCACTATCAATGTTTAACAGCCTTGAAGAGCGCTTGGCCGTCGCCAACATATCATTGGTTGAAAGCAATTTCTTGAGAAATTGAACTGCTGGTTTTATGTGAGAATCCAAACTCCGACTCAAAACGACTGGATTCAATAAAACGAGCTCTGGCAGATTCTGACCCACAAAGCCATTTTCAATGAGAAAGTTGAATTTGGGCTCCAGATTGTTGAGTACCTTGTAATGGAGGATTGTGGGGCGCTTGGTGATCAATTTGGCGATTTGGGCATCATCAAATCCGTTGGATTTCAAGAATTTGAGCACAGAATCTATCCGATGGGTTTGCTTCTTATCAATCTGGAGCTTCTTGGAGGTTGAGATTGCAGATTCTAAAGGAAGCCGGCATGACTGCACCAGGTACTCAACTGTAAAAGATGAACATAATGCAGATGTAGGCGTTGGTAATGTTGCAAGAAGGCGTTTTGTTACTAAAGAATGCAGATTTCTGAGGACAATGTTAGCCATTTTGGTAGCCGATGTTCACACTGTAACACAAATTTCCCGTTCTAGCCAGACCGGAAAGATTGGGATCGAATAGGTAACCAGGGTTTTTGCTGGGCTTTTCGGTTTTTTCCTTTTTCGGTAGAGGGGAAAACTATTTGGACCCGAGAACAGTTAAACTATGCACTGTGCACACCCTGCGTTAGGGCAAAAGTGCTTCCTAGAGAAGCAATACTTCTTAGAAAAGCATGTCAAACGAGTCCTAAGTCATTTTTTTTAATGTAGTTTATCAATTTACCATTTTTGTTCCGTAGTTTCAATACACATTCCAATTCAAATCCCACTCAATTTCATTATGTTTTTTTACCACCCCTCACTCACGGGAGGGGTATTATGATCCATTTGAGTAAATTTTTTTCCAATTCACTGAAATTTTAACCCAAAGATAATTTTTTTCACAAAACTCTAAGCTCAAAAATCAGGCATAAAGTGAATGAAAATAATTCGAGCTTATGTTTTATCACTGGATGGTTCGAATGGATTGAAATATCCCTCGTGAACACGTTGTCAAAACTTTACAAAATTAGGAAGAATTAAATAAAAATAAAAATACGTTTTTGAATTTCTTCGAATTGAAAACTAAAATAGTAAAATTCAAACTATGCTGGCAAAAAAAGAAGAAGATAAAATTGAAACTATGGACCAACGTTAAAAATGATAAAATACATTGACCAAAAATAACAGCTTGCCTCTTCTGTTTTTTTCCTTGTATTTTTTTAATTTTAAACGTTTCCAAATCTCATTTTCAATAACGCTTTCATTTTGCTTGTTTTTGCTCTTTGTATTCTCAGTTAATCAACTCTTGAATCACCAACCGAGTCTAGCCCAGTGGAGAAAGGCTGTGACGTCTTGTAGAATAGAGATCTCAGGTTTGAACCCCTATAACATCATAATTGTGTGTGTAGGAGAAATCCTTCTCCCTTGTGATTAACTTTTTAACACAGCCAAAAATTCAACTCCTGAATCAATTTAACACAACCATTTCCTGAAACATCTACACCCCTCAGTGCCATGTGTCCCCTTTTCTTTTCCCTCGTGAACCTCATTTTCTGGATTGATAGAGCTTGCTAGAACCCCTTTTGTTTTATTTTGATTTTCTTTTGAAACTTTGATCTAGCTGATTTGGTACCAAAAGAGTGAGAAAGGAAGAGGAAGGTGGAAATGGATAGGCAAGGGCGTGGTCATATCCTTTATCTCTCTCTCTCGCTCTCTCTTTCTCTCTCTCTCTCTCTCTCTCTCTCTCTCTCTCTCTCTCTCTCTCGCACAAAAAGCTCCATCCTAAATCTGAAACTCCCATCCTCTCAAGCTAAGTTGAAACCATAGTCATTACCTTTTTGGTAAGAAATGCAGACATCGCAAGCTCTTCGTCTAGCTGCCGAAAACACCCAAAATCTCAAGCCGTAATCCTTTCCTTATACTCAATTTCTCTTAGCTCCCACGCCACAAGACTCTCATGCTAAGCCTAGTAGTATCTTAAATCACCAAAGCAAACTCTCATGCCAAGCCTGTGCAACATCAATACACCATATCCAACTCTTCGTCTAGTTGTCGGAAACATCAGCACAAAACACCCAACTATTGGAAGAAGAACAAGTACCCCCCCCCCCCCCCCCCCCCCCCCCCCCCCCCATGTTTTTCCCTCGGGATGCTTTGGGCCTAGTTCTCGCTAACTCAGAAAAAATGGCAACGAAGGCTTAATTTATCACTCAATGGCAGTCCAAGAATCAACAAGCCCGGATGAGCCTTCCAACGGAAAAAGACCCCAACATAAAGCAACCACAAAAATTGACATCAGTTATATGAATGAAAATTAACTTGACTACTACTTGCTCATTCTTCTCTACTTGGACACTTCCTCTTGTTGTGGCCTTCTTGTTTACATATCGAACACTTGATCTTAGTGTGATACCTTTGCAACTTTGTTTCATTAAGCTTAAATCTTTCAGCCTCACCAGCTGATGGAATCCTCTTCTTCCTAGGCCTTCCAAGCTGTTATGATCTTTAGGTGGCAGCAGAGGTGGGAGATTAGACTTAAGCCACAAATCCTGGCTTGTTTGGGTGAACAATTGGGTTATAAGCTTTCATATAAGCTTCTTTCTTGTAACAATCAGCAACATATTGAAAGTGACTCCATTTCTTTGGCCTATTGCAGCACAAGCATGCTTACATGGGATCCCACTAATATCTCATTGCCTTCAAAAATAACTGTGCCTTGCCAAATTAACCACAACTTGGCTTCCACCATGATTTATGACTTCATATTTCCTCTCCCCAGCCAGCTTAAGAATGCACCAAGCAGATTCCATCTTGTGAGTCTCAACAACTTTAAAAACTCTTGGACCTACTGTATGCTTTCACTCTCACATTGTATAATACCTTAGCCTCTCAAGCAGTGTTAATATTGGAGCGTCTCTTGCATCAGTTATAGAACCATTGAAAGCCTTACAGAGGTTATTCAAAAGAGTATCACACTTTGAGTGAGTCTTAAAGTAAAATCTACACCACTGGTGTGGATCTAAGTTGTTTACCCAACCGTACACTAAACCATTAATTTCTTGGAGTTTCCTCATCTCAGCTTGCCACAATTCTTCTTCCTCTCTTGGACTTGCTAAGTCTGAATAACAACCGTATTATTGCCAAACCCATTCAATGGCCTAATCCCCGTGTTGAACCCACATGCACAAGGGATGGTTGAAATTTAATATTGTGTGGGAACCCAATGCATGAGCGTCAAACCCAATAGTGGGGCTGACACTCTGCTAAGTGCAAACCCACAGTTGATCTGCTTGTTGCATGCCCAGAACCAACCCGCATGGAGTGGACCCTAGGGAGTTTGCATTTTAGCCGATCTCGTGGGCCCCAAATGAGCTTTCTCCTTGTGCTTCAGATGATTTGGTGGCCCCCATGGTCTTTTCTCTTCTCTTTGCTAGCCGGTCCCAAATGGACCCTAGCTTTTGGGTTTCTTCTTCTTGCACTTGAGCTGACTCCATGGACCCCAGAGCCTTTGGTTTTTCACTTTGCTCTTAAGCCGATACGAATGGCCTACAAGTTTGGATTATTTTTTTTATTTTATCTTTTTTATAGTGGTTGCACTTGAGCTGACCCTTTGGACCCCAGTGCCTTTGGTTTTTCAACTGATCCCAAGTAGTCCTTGACTTGGGTTTTTTTTTTGGGTTCTTGGTCAAACTCAAATAAAAATGCCATTCATCTATGCACGTTGCTTTTTCATGCACCATTGTCTTTGTCCATGTCTTCACATGCAACACTTTATATCATGCACTTTGGCTCATACCATGCAATCTTGAATCGTTCTCTTGGATTTTCAACCAATCCGGTCCATAACTTCGTCTTTGCGTGATAAAAAGAATAAGCCTAGCTCCGTATATGGTACTCATTATATGGCACCAATTATTGCCTATACATGTTGCATTCTTTTGTCTTTTTGTCTGTTTAAGAAGTGCATGCAGCGTTCTGTCAGGGAAACGCATGCGATGGGTAAAATAGCTTTGATTGGTCATATTAGACCAGGCCTTTGTTGTGAAAGCCTAAGGTGAATATCTGATTTGGCCGTATCAATTCTTATCCTTACTTTTGAAAAAAAACTTCTCCCTATGACCTTTGTTATATATTTTTCTCTAATGCTCATGCCTTCTGCTATAAAAGGTTGGGCGATAGAAATACCTTTCATTCTCAAAACCATTCATAATTTGCTTTTGTTCCTCAGATAGGCTCTAGGCGTGAAGGGAAGGGAAAGCGTTCTGTGCACTTGAAATTCTGTTGATGTGTGCATGTGTCTAGATCATACGAGGGCTCTTGTTCTTGCTAAGACCCAGTAAGTATTATTTCCATCTTTGCTATTTTCATGTTGAGGCACAAGATTTGGCCCAAGTCTAACGGTGCCCCACCGAATTACGAGATCCTTAAGGCTCGCACCAAAGGATGTGTTCCCGACGACGTGAGTATCGATCCTTTTCCTTTGGGGTCAAACATGTACATTGGTCCTGGTATCCCTGAAGGCTCCTTAATTTTTTTGCCGGCCCATTTAGAGTACATCAGGTTTCCACTTCATCCCCTTTTGTTCTTTTTGGGTCTTTACCCCATGCAATTGAACCCAAATTCTTATCTCCTTATATCCGGTTTTCTGGCCATCGGGTTGAAGTGGGGGTGTGTCCCTTACCTTAAGGATTTCATCTACCTCCACGATTTATCTTCTGCTATGGGAGAAAGTCACTATTTCTTTTTTACACCTGGGTCTAATAAAAAGATATTTTCTTGTAAACCCAAATCCATCAAGTATTGAAAAAACCAACCTCTCTTAACCATTAGGAAGTGGGCGGCGCTTGAGATGTTTAACATGTTTATCCCATCGGCGTTTGGCTCAAAATATGGTATAATGATTTATGCTTTTTGAATATAATTTATTTTCTTTTTGTGGGTCTGACTAACCTTTTTTCTTAGCAGCGCTTCTTTTGGACAAAAGGTACATGATTCATGAGGATTAGATCGCTTGGTTAGAGGAGAACTTGGTAGGTCAGAGGTGGGATGCCACTCCTTTGTGGACCGTGTGGCTCTTATCTATATCTCCATTGCTCGTCGCACAACGATTTATTTCTCATTCATTTTGGCTAATTGGAACCTGCACGGAGTAGATTTGTTTAAGAACATTTGTTTCTTCAGCATTGAGCTTTGTTGTACTAAGGATTCGGCATCCCTTATCCAGGCCAATTTTCAAGAAAGGAAGGCTAAGTTAGCTTAGCATAGCAGCTCCAAGGACTACGCATCCGAGTTTGAGTCTGATCATTCAAATATGTCGACACCACGTTCACTATCAATCCCGAGCCATAGGGAAAGGAGATCGGGAAAAAAGACCAAGCCATCCGGGTTTGCGAAGAAGTCATGCCATGCTCTGCAGGTCGTTTTGGGTTTGTGTTCGCCTAATGCCGCATCCGCCTCAAGTACTCCTTCCTATCGACCTTAGCAAGTCCCATGTGTTTCCACTCCTACTAGCTCACTGGGTGAGAATGACTTCATGGCCATGACTGATGAACAGATGTGAGGCTACCAATCACACTGCTTGAGTGCGGTACGATAATGTTTAGGGTTTGTGCTGATGTTATATGTTTTTCATGTCTTATTATAGCTGCCTAATGCTCATTTTCATATGTCTTGCAGATGGCTAGAATTGGCAACGCATAAATGGCAAGGTTCCAGGCTATAAGCCATGAGATATGCGAGAAGATTGTGACCTTCGAGCTCAGCAAGAAGGGCATCATGGAATATGAAACTGAGCTTGACGAGCAGCTAGGAGAGTTGCAGAGCTTAAGAAGCATCCAAAGCACTACACTGATCGAGGTTGATCACCTTAAGAAGGAACTGGTGGATGCTTCACGCGATAGGGACTTGGAGTATCAGGCTAATAACAAACAGATCAGGGTCGAGATGGCGTTGGGTCCAAGGTCAGCAACTCCCTGAGCACCGCTTCGTAGGGGATTCAGATGATTATGACGATGAGTTTGGATTTGATCTCGCTGGCTATGAACTATTTCAGGGTATGCATCATGATGATCGTCCTCCGATGGATTACCTCCCCCATCGCAGGACCTCGCCAACAGCTTTTCATGGGTCGACGTCAGTCCCTTCTAGGTCAGTTAGGACCGATGTCCTTGGCGCTACTCCTAATGTTGGGGCTATGATGCTGAGTGCTTCAAACCTTGATATTTTCCTCTATGTCGTCTGACCAGAGAACAAAAGGGCATATATACCATGTTTATTTTGGGGCTGCCCTTGAGTTCGATTATTTCTTTTATTATTATTCATGCCAATCCATCTATTATGTAGAACATATTGGGGGCACCGATGTTTCTTATGCCTATTATAGGGTTGTCACATGGATTTATCTGATTTTCTCTCTATTGTTGCTAGGCATAGTACACAAACCAAGCATTCAAATTTTCAAAAGCAATTCCACGAACACAAGTTTGAAATTCTAACGCATATGATTTTTATTACTTTTGATTTCAAGTAAGAAGTTTGATTATTCTTATAGTAACAAATGATTCTTTGACATACTCATGGGTTTCTCAATGTCATAGCCTCTATTATGAAGAAAAATTAGGATCCTTTTGCAAAGACTCATAGAGATGATGGCACTATCCCAACAAAACTCGTGGCTGCCCATAATCATCTAGGACCAAATCGGTATCAAATGGGATATGCAATGACATGTCTACGGCAAATGATGCAAACCAAATATTAGCAAGGAAGAGAAGAAAAATGCCCAGAGAAAATAAAAGGCAAGGGCGAAGAACAGCAGAGCACAAACTACATTTCTTGAAAACAATGAGCTGGAACAAACAAATTTATACTTGGATGGACTATACAGATGAGAACTATCTCATAATTCATTTTGATTAGTGTATTTCCAACGGGTAGAAGGGAGCATTGGGACATTCTTATTTCTAATAGGTAAATGTAGGCATTGAAAAAAGACTATTTCCTATGGGTAAAAGTAAGTGTCGAAATTGACTTGTTTCCAGTGGGTAATAGGGAATGCTTGAAGAATCTCATTTACTTACCCATATTGGAGAACTCCAAGTAATGGGCTTGGACTTTGGTGCTTCCAAGTAGCTAGCCCAAGGTCTCCATTATCCAAGAGCTTCCATGGGCCTTATGGACCTCCGTAACCTTCCACACCACAATCCCTCGTGCAAGACCTGTAAACCACATGACTTGGGTTCATGTGAGCTTGGTAGGTGATTGGCATAGGAAAAATGTATTATTGGTTTAGCATGGCATGTACACTATTTCTATATTTATTTAATAAATTAATTCCCAAAATAAAGCTTGGATTAATTAACACATGACCATCATTATATGTTATATTGGGCTTAAATGTCTTTGGACTTCCCATGACTTTTTTGGGCCTCAACAATGAGAAACACTTTAATCACTATCAAAGAATTATCCATAAGACAAACAATGCAAAAATTTATCAAGACCAGACGAAGATGCTAGCTAGCGCAATGCCTTGAACTGAAAATATAACAAGGCTATATTGCTTTGTCCATTTCCCTTTAGGCCTAAATCTCACCACTGCCAGAATTCAACGGCTTGTGTTTTAGGCTCAAAGATCATGGCTGCCTCAGTAATCCACGTATGTGCAGGTCCAACTTTTCCTTTACACTACAAATATCCCAGTGATTATTGCATAGGAATTGCATGCATGAGACATAAAGAATAATAATTCTGGTCTCTTATGACCCATGAGTCTATAGTATACCCCATACAATTTTACAAAGGCTAATATTTTGTTTGATGAAGCCATGACCACAAAGGTGTGTGAGTAGAAAATTCGAAGGTATTTTTCTTTATTCTTCTTGCAGTTGGGAGTTGAGAAACATTTATATATGGCTCTATGCGTGAATTTTAATACAATCATATGTGCATTAACTAGATGCTACTAAGCCTCTATATTGATCCATCCATGGACAAAGCTTTAGAATGCATATGAATTGAAACTGATTTTTGTTGATGAAATTAACATTATTATTGTGTGGTTAGAATTTGGCAGCCTGTTAACCTTTAGAATACATTTGTGTGGTGGGGGCAACTACTGCACCACTCAAGATAGGCCATAAGCCTATTTCTATATGATGACAATTTATGAAACTAACGACAAAATCAACATAAACAGAGGCTTAACGATAGCTACAATGTGTAGTTAGTAAACACATGCACTCTAAACCAATAGAGAGCATGCCAATACTCAACTTATGCTTGCGACTGAAAGTCAAATTCAAGTGTTCGAAGACCATGAGCGTGAATGAAATTCAAATTCATATGGTCCAGACCATGTTTGTGACCGAAGACCAAATTCATGTCGAAGACAAAACTTGGTGGAAGACCATACTTAAGGCGGAAGGCCAAATCCATATCGAAGGCAAAACTTGTAGCTGAAGGAAAAATTCAAAATCATGGTAGAAGACCATATTTGTGGTTGAAGGTCAGACACAAAATCATGGTCGAAGACCAAACTCTTGGCCAAAGGCCAAATCCAAAGATGATCAAGCTTAAGGTTGAAAACCAAACTCATTGCTGAAGGCCACCATATCCATGAAATTTGACATGCTCATGATCAAAGTGTTCTTCCCACAAAGAATATTTTCTTTCTCTACGCCTTAGACACGTGTCTAGAAAGAGAAAATGGGACATCTGTGGGAGCAAAAACTAAGGCCCAAGTAACAAGCCACTTCTCATGAACCCTAAATCTGAGGAAGTTGAGGGAATCAAATAACATGATATCCACTACCATAGAATATGGAGATAAATATGGGATATAGGACTTGGAGTCTAAGGGTTTAGTGCCTATAAAAGGCCAATTAATTTCCCAGCATAAGTGAGGAGAGGTATGATTGATTCTACTGTAGTATTCATGAACAAACACTGACTTGAGCGTCGGAGTGTTTTCTTGCAGTTACCTCCTCCTCACTCTATGGTGATAATTGTAGATGGTGTCTAGCTTCTCAACATGGAATACAAGATTACTTGTTGGAGGACCCGAAATTTCATGTTCCAACAACGGGTGAAAAAGAAAGAAAAGAGAGAGAGAGAGAGAGAGAGAGAGAGAGAGAGAGAGGTGAGAAGGAAAAGAAAAGAGAGAGGGAGGCAAGGGGTTTAAAAGGATTGGCAGGTTGACCCGAAACCATAGTCTAAAATATCGATAATATCAAGGATATTATCGTTTTTTCGGGTAAAGAAATTTCGAAACATATCCATACACATATCGTATAAATATCGATAACATTGACGATAATATCTGAAAATATTGATATTCACAATTTCGCTCACACTTCAACAATATTTTGTCAAAATATCACTATAATATCGAAAATATCGATGTAAAGGAAAAAAAAAAAAGAAAAAAAAAAAAAAAAAAAAAAAAAAAACAAACACACACACAAGGGGATTCGAACCCTTGCCATTTCACTCCTCCAATGCCTTAACCCACCATGTTGCTTATGTTTTTGTAATAATACGCAAAGGGGAACTCTATGTGGTACTAAGCCACTCATATATCTTACCATGCAATGTATAAAGTGTAAAATATTGTAGTAAATCATTATATATAAATTATTATGGTGTGTTTAATCTTATTTCATTAATTACTACAAATTTTCTACACTTACAGTGTTTGTCAGCTCGTTATATAATCAACTTAAATAGTTAAACCCATCATGCAATGCATTTTCTTCCAATTTTTTGTGATAAACTAATAGATAATTGACTAAATGAACATCCTTCAAAGTTTCAACAAAAAATTCCAAGTTTTTCTTACAATTTCCTTGGTTTTTATTCTATTTTTATCGATATCGATAATATCCCGATATTTCCATCGAAATTTCTGTGTCTTTAGACTACCGATATTTCCGATACCATCGATATTTTAGACCTTGCTTAGAATGTCATCTTAGAATATCTAAGCCACAATAAAATGGGACATAAAACAAAAAGCTTGGCTTTATGGGGCACAAGGCATAATTCTGGATAGATGTGCCAAGTTTGGGCGTCCACAAGGCAGGCTTTTGGGCCACACCAAACATCTCATTCTTTACACGTTGCGCAAAATTAAATGCTTTGAGATAAAATTGCATCCATATTTCTATCTAGTAGCCAAGCCTGGCCCAGCCCACAGGTATGTGGGCTGGGTGCCGGCACAAGGCCCTAAAAAAATGAGGCCTCCTACACACCTCTAGTCCACAAACTAGCCAAAAAAAGCCTTTTATGTGAAAAACTAATGGTTTTTGAATTTTTTGGATCTTTTTCTTTATCTTTCATATAACATGCCTTTTTTTACTTAAACTAATCTACTTACCACCTAAGTTTGAAACTTTTTATTATAATTTTTGTCCAAAATGAGGCATGTGTTAAACAAAAAAAGCCTCATTTTTCATTTTTGCACAGAGCCTTCAAAAACAATGGACCGGCCTTGAGCCAAGCCACTCCAAATTATGTTTAATTTATCCCACCATTACCATATAATAAAGCATCAAGCAAGTTTGCTACAAGTAATAAACTACTAAACCAAAGACAAAGAGAAGTGAATGTGAACTGGAACATTAAGCAAACATGAGATAACAAATCCAGTCTTTCACTAAGATTTCGAATAGCTATCCTGAATTCAAGTTGATTATGTTTCGCCTCTTCCTCGGAGAAAGACGATCAAACAATTCCCAATCAAAAGCTAGGTCATATTTCATAAGTTTTAAGTTGGTTTACGAAACCAACTACTAAATTAGAGGCAGTTGTGAATGTGAATAGGAAAATTAAGAATGCTACCAAAGGTCATATCCCACCAGAATTCTTAAGCTATTTGGAAATATTTGAATGACAAGCAATGAATCAGGACCACCGTAAGAGGAGGAGCTAGAACCATCTTTTAATTACATATCCAGCAAATAGTAATCTTCCCTTGTTAATCCTCAAGGTTAACATTACAATATACTAATAACTGATTGTCTAATATTAAGCAATTAAAACTACATAATATATCACATAAATATTGACATTGATATACCAAAAGAATAGAACATATATACGTTTCTTAGTGTGATATATTAACATTCACATTACATGCATACCAAAAATATGTCTTTTATGATATCTAAATTGAATTGTGAGTCTCTAGGCATATACCACGTCCAGCTCATCCCTACAGGCCACCCAAAGCAGTGTTGATTCATCCAACTAAATAATGGTATGAGTATTGTCAGAATCATCAAATTTTTTAAAGTGATAATACTCAAACTTTGTAACGTCCCGAACTGGGGGGTCGATGGAGACTATGCGTGAGAAAATAAAAAGTAAAATAAAATAAAAAGAAGTCGAAACATGGGTTTAGAATAAACTTCTCTTATAAAAATAGCTCCAAAATCTTACAACTTTATAAGAAATAAATAAAGTTCTATCACTCTTATCTAATTCAGCCTCAACTGGTTTAGTCATTGTCTTAATGAAATAAGGTGAGGGATGAGCAACCACCGCTCAGTAGGGACATTAGACCTTATCACAGTAGATTGATATAAATAAATTAAATGACATGCAACCACACAACCAAATATCACATTAATAAATTAATGCATGAATTCTCTTCTTCTACTCCCGTTAATTCATATAACTAGACAAGCAGACTTGCACGTCACATACCATGCTTATACCACTTGGTCCCGAATGCCCATTTATATGAACTAACACCCATCTCAATCATCCCATAATTCCCCTTTTGTTAATCATCTTGTCTAACTCCATGTCTCCAGTCCGGAATCACCCAATAAAAATCATGTGCACTGTGAAATCCCTGAGACCTAGTACCTGCCAAGAGTTAGACTCACCTACACAAAAGACTATTTCCATTACCCTCTTTTCCATCATTATTTTCTTAAGCCAACAACTCCAACCAATTTCCATGACATGATATAATTAAGCCTTTCACATATCCCATGTATCTCACAACAATGTAACCATTTAAAACATCACCAATGCATATATAATTATGCCAACATTAACCAAATGGTTAACAATATATAAGTATCCGATGTCAAGAACATTATACAATATCAAGAACATCCATTATAATATCACACATAATATGGAGCTCACAAAATTTAATTAAATCAATCTTCTGTAAAGGCCCCCCAAGAAACCCTACTTTGTTTCCAAAGCTACCTCTAAGTTAAGAAAACACAAGCTCCAACCTCTAACTTCTACTTTATTTCCAATACCATCGATATTTTAGACCTTGCTCGAAACTCACCTGTTTATTAAACGGGTCATAATGGGTTGACACGAAAATTACCCAATTATTAATCGTGCTAGTTCAGGTCGTGTTTTTTCTGTGCGAGTTTAGAGTTGTGTAACGAGTCGTATCGGAAATTGCCACCCCTACATTAATCTCAACATTTCTCTCCTCTTTAACAGTTTGCATGAAGCTGTCAATATGCATTGTTAGGTTAACCCTAAACTTGTCCACATATCTCTTCATGAACCAAGGAACTCTACAATTCCTATTTTCCCTCCATATCCTGCCACATGTATGAACTCCCTTTAACTTGCATTGAATCTTCATTGTACATCTTAGATGCATAAATTCTCCAACTGCAGTTGTTGAAACACTTTGCACTGACTAGCCTATTTTCATTCTTTGTAAACTTGATTAATGGTGCCCAATGCTTAATTGAATATGAACACACTGCCTCTCTAAACTCATATGCATTCTTGAATTTTAGCCTCAAAAGATGAGACATCCATGTGCACAGCTGCATTATACTCAAGGAAAATCCTTCTCTGAGTAGTTTCAAAGTCGGAATCATCTGAGTGCACATTATCAAGACCATTGGATCCTTCTATTGCATCTTCAATACCAACACCATCCATGTCTCTAGGATCAACCTCAGTGAAAGCCTCATGCTCACTTGGTCTTTCTTATTCACGGTGTCCTATTTTAGTTGTTGCAGCCAATGGATCATAAACATCATCTCCTATCCCAATGTTCTCATTCTCATCCTCATCTAGACTATAATCGTTGTCAACAAAGTCACTGTCAATTTCATCCTCATCACCATCCTCTGTTGCAATATGTTCACCTTCAACTTCACCATCTTTACCTTCAACTTCACCACCTTCAACTTCACTATCACCATCTTCATGTCCGTCACCCTCAACTCCATTATCTTCATCACTATCATTGTAGTTTTCTTATGCTGCAGAAAACTGCTCCTTATTTCTCAAACCTACATCCCCCTCATTAGAAGCATGGACACCACCATTAAGAGTGTGATCATTAACTGTTCTTCTGAATGAAATATTGCTGACAGACATGCTCTTCCTCTATCTCTTTAATCACCACCCCTCTATTTGGTTTGCCTTCATATAACCTATATAACCTCTTCATCTTCTGTGCGCAATCTTTTGGACTCATGTGTTCCAGGTACATGTCTATTTCTCTAGTTCCTAGAACGTACTTGCCCATTTGTACCACTTCCTTCATCAGTTTGTAATAGTTGTAACCCATTGAAATAGTCCTTGTCAGGTTCCTTGTAATAGTGCAGTGTGTAGCCATCATAACGCAATGTCTCCACCATTCCATCTATCTCAAATAAAGATAATGCATCTTTATCAACATAATCAAACCATGTCACATAACCATCCTTATAGCAATCTTCAAACCATTTCCCACCATGATGCATTCGAATTGTAAAGAATTCATCTTCATATGTAAACATATAAAAACATTTGAACCTCAACACACCAACCCTAAATATGTGGACTTTTTAGACTAAATGCCAACAATCACAAAATGGAGCCGAAAAACATTATCAATAAGGACCACAATACAACCAAAAAACGTATAGGGGACCATTGATAGAACCAAATAGTCAACCAACCTAGGATAAAAACTCTCCTCTCTGTATTTTCTCTTCTCCTCTACTCTCCCTCTTAGCTATCCATTTTCCTTTGTTTTAAATATTTTTTTAAAAGTTGTTTGAATAAATGTTTGCGTGAAGGAAAATGTGTGGAATTGCCCTTATGCAAGGGATTATTTTGCAACATACACATAGGAAGAGGGTGGGGTTGGGTGTGGGTTGTGGGTAAGGATGGGGTCGTCAGATTGCAGGCAAGAATAAAAAGCAGAGGGAGAACACATGGAGGAGAAAGGGGAGCAGAGGGGTAGAGAAAACAGAGGGTGAGAGGGCAAAGGGAAAGAAAATGAAGCTAGAGGGAGGAGAGAGAGGATAATGGGGGAGAGAAAGGAGGCATAGGGTGGTGGAGAGAGAGGGCAGAGAGGGGAAGAGATACGGAGTGGGAGAAGTGGGAAGTTGCAGAAAAATAAATTTTTATTTTTATTTTAATGGATTTTCATTAATAAAAAAATATTTATCTATTTAATTCAAATGTCACGATGTGACTGGACATATGGGCTCTACTTATCTTCTACACCAGACACTTAACATAATTTCTGACTGCATGCAAGGTCTAAAATATTGATGGTATTAGAAATATTGATAATTCAAAAATATGGAAATTTCGATGGAAATATAGGGATATTATCGATATCGATAAAAATTGAATAAAAATCACGTAAATTGTAAGAAAAACTTGGAAATTTTTATTGAAACTTTGGAAGATGTTTATTTAGTCAATTAGCTATTAGTTTATCACAAAAAATTGGAAGGAAATGCATTGCATGATCGGTTTAACTGATTTAAGTTGATTATATAGCGAGCTAACAAACACTATGAGTGTAGAAAATATGTAGTAATTAATTAAAGAAGATTAAACACACCATAATCATTTATATATAATGATTTACTACAATATTTTACACTTTATATATTGTATAATAAGATATATGAGTGACTTACCACATAGAGTTCTCCTTTGCGTTTTATCACAAAAATATAAGCAATATGGTGATTAAGACGTTGGAGGAGTGAAATGGCAGGGGTTCGAATCCCCTTTGCGTGTGTGCTTTGTGTTTTTTTTTTCCATTACATCAATATTTTGATATTTTTGATATTATTTTGATATTATAGCGATATTATAGCAATATTTTGACAAAATATTCGAATCCCCTTTGCGTGTGTGCTTTGTGTTTTTTTTTCCATTACATCAATATTTTGATATTTTCGATATTATAGCAATATTTTGACAAAATATTGCTGAAGTGTGAGCGAAATTATCGACATCGATATTTTTCGATATTATCGATATTTAAACAATATGTGCATGAATAAGTTCCAAAATATCCGTGACCTGAAAAAACGATAATATCCTCTCTATTTCGTCGATATTATCAATATTTTAGACTATGACTGCATGGACCATTTGTGATACAAGGCCTTGATGTTGAGGACTATTTTGATGTCACAAAAAAATCCCTATTCGTGACAATTTCATAAACTTAAAGGAGCATTTGTGATAAAAAGCCGTCCGAATATATAGGAAATTGGGCAATGGTTCACTTGATTATCAAACGCCACGTGGATAAAAGCCCATCCTGCTGTTCAAAATTTATGAACTCAACTCATATTTTTCTTTCATTTTTGTCTTTTCGTTGAGAAACAAAGCTTTCTGTTAATGAGCAAAACCTCCACTCCCTCCTCTTCCAGTTAAAATGATAGCCTAGGGTAAGCCACAGTTCACTCCCTCCATCTCATTGAATTTGTTGTTGTTATTTTTCTTTAGTTTATGGCAACACCCGTTTCATGTTGCAAGAATTTATTTCAAATATTGGTTGGGTTTTATCTTGATAGAATTTCGAAGTTCTCAACTTCTTATCTCTACTGGTTTTTTTCTGTGTTAATTTTGGTTTGGTACCTAACATCATTCCTATTTCTACTTCGAATTCTTGGGTGGATACTGTGAATTTTTTTCCTGATTTTTTTTTGGGTTTTATATGCTTGCAGCAATGAATCTCAATTTTTTAAGGGTTATTTCTACTCGTAATTTTTAGATTTATGCTTTGTCTTTCTTCATGTTTGGTTAATCTTTCAAATCCTTTGGCATATTTGAGTATATATAAGCACAATAAACCCTTTTTATGGGAGGGTTTATGCTGTGCTTTTTACTTCTTCTGTCTCTGGTTATGTTTGGGATGAAGTAATAGTTTGTCTGGAGGGTAGTACGAATGTCTCTGTGTTGTTCTGCCTCTTGTAGCATCTCTGCATATTTAGTTAAACCACTGCAGCAGAATCCGTGTCGTTGGTAGACTCGGATTCTGACGATTCTTCTTCAGTCCCAGAAGCCATTTCAGAAAGGACTCCCAATTCCTCCCGCATGTCAGTTTCAATCAACTCCTTAGATATCGGGCTAGCTGATCCCCACTCCTCCTCAGAGCATCTGAGTATGGCTTCGTGAATCCCTGCTTTTGGTTTTCTCGCGCGCTCTTTGACATCGTTCTCCCCCTACAACGTTTAAAGCCCCTGCCTGAATTATTGCCCGGCCAAAATTTCTTAAGAAATTTGGAGTCAGAACCCGGTTCGAGATTTTTCATCTGACAAACCGAGTTGTTCTCTTCTCTCAGCCTCCTATTCAGTTTAAGTCGCCACCAGGTGCAACGAAGGTGATACTGTCACTGAGTCAGCCGTACTTTATGATTCCCCATGTTCTTCAAGACCCTTTACCAAACTATTTGTTATCCTTGTTTTAGTTCAATGAAGAGTGATAATTTTTTCTGCGGGGAAAATCTATATTCTCTTAGTTGTGTTTACAAGTGTAAGGGTTCATATCCGTGGCTTGGTAATTCCGGTAACGTATGTTGCTGGGATTCCTATGTTCTCTTTTTAATAGAGGTTTGACTGTTATATGTTGTAGTTTAAGTTCATTGCGTGATAATCATTTCATTTTCTGTTCTTGAAGTTCCCCTGCTCGAGGTGATGCATATTGAAAAATGCTATTGGTTTTATGCAGGACTTTGTTCTGGAATCATTTATTTGGGATAAGGTGCTTGAGCTGAGCACCTTGATAACCTTGGATATATAATGCTTCATTTGTTTCTATCAGAGCCCATCTGGAATGACAATGGAGATGACAATTCTGCCAAGATGAGAGTATCTCTCTTGAGTAATTTGGAATCTGTTATTTGGTCAGTCATGGCATCTGGAGGTCGATCAGAGGCTCGTCTGTGGCTTTGTAACACGATAGCTGGCATAAGTTCCATTGGTCGTCACCATCAATGTGAGTTACTTACGAACTTGCTGAGATCTAAGCCGCTGAAGAAGGGCTTCGCATCTCAGCTCCTAGAAATGATATTTGAGAATAGGCCACATAAGGCAGGGTCCATTATTGCCAAGAGAAGTTACATACTTAAGAAATTCTTTGAAGGCAAGTCAATTTTACATTTCATACATTCAGTTCATGTTTGAGTTAATTTTCCTCTTTTTGAGTAACTTTAATTTCTTGTATGTATTATTTTTACTATTGAATATCATCATTTTCCGTTTACTTTCTGTATCACCAATAATGTTGATATTTATTCCTGTGTAATATTTAGTATGGATAAAGACTGCTGTGTTTATACCTGTTGGAAGATTGATAAATATGTTGATGTAGGATGGTGAGCAGGCCAACCTCCAATGATGTGGATGTTTTAGGAATTCTGATAATGACATCATTGTTGAAAATGCAGGAAATCCAACACGAATATCTCAATGGTTTTCTAGAACTGGCGGTGGATTGGGCCATGGACCTGGTGCTAAGGCATTGTCGCAATTTTCTTTTGTTAATCGAGATATTTGTTGGGAGGAGCTTGAGTGGAAGGGAAAACATGGGCAATCACCAGCAGTAGTTGCTACAAAGCCCCATTACTTTCTTGATTTGGATGTCCAGGCAACTGTGGAGAATTTCCTTGAAAATGTCCCTGAATTTTGGTTGTCCAATGAGCTTTCTGAGTCACTTAAAGATGGTGAAATTTTGTTCGTTGATAGAAAATATTTTGTCGAATATTTTGTTGATTTGATGTATAAAGAGGATTCAAGAGATGTATGGGAAGTTACAAGTGAGTATCTGAAGGAGGAATGTTTTTCTTCGTTGTGCAAACGCCTTCTTATTACTCTTGATGAGTGGGACTTATGTGATTTTCTTCACATGCTTCATAAGAATCTCAACCCTAGAATGGAGCTCAAGGATCCTATGGACTCAAGTTATTTGTTTGAGCTTATACTTTCTAAGTGCAGTGATTTTAGGTGCTTTGATCAGATATTACTGTTAAATGCAGTTTTTAATCATGGACGCCAGCTTTTACGACTTCTACGAGATGAAGAGGCCCACGAGGAAAAAGAAAAACTTGAAGACATTGTTTCAAAGATTTGCGGAATCCCAAACAATGACAGTAGCTTGGCCTCAATAATCAAAGATTGCTTTAAAATGAAGAATATAGAAGCATTTAAATTGCTGGGGCTTCAGTCATGGGTTATCTATTACAGTTTAGCAGAAAAATGCCAGACTCCCGAGTCTTGGGAATTATTTTTTATGCATAATGAAATAAGTTTCCGAAAATCAGATAGATATTTATTTCTAGATAATCATGGAGTGTTGGAAGGTGGTGTTTCTGATTTGGATCGTAAAGCATCCAAAACAGTTAAGCACAGGAAAAAACATAGTAGAAGGAAAAGAAAAAGGGACATCAATCATGATGACAGCGACAATGAGTTGCTGGATTTGGGAACCACAAAAAATAGGCTGGATTTGCAATCTAATGTTGGAAGTTGGTTGCTCTCAATTGATGAGTATTCTGCATCATGGAACAGTGTAAGTTTCTCATAGACTCTACTTATGTGCTCTATAAATCATTTTGACCTCATTACATTTCACTGCAATTGCCTTTTACCCATGCACTTGTTTGAACTCTTCTACTATGGATGCTACTATTTCTTTTAATATTGTCATACCCAAATAGAATATTTTGGTAAGCTCTTTTCTGTAGTAAACATGCGTAGTGTAGAACCAAGCTTACAGTAGGCCATGATCTGTATAATTGTACTTGAAAACATGTCAAGGAAATAAATTCATTGAACTGCACAGTGTGTTTAGGAGGATCTGGAACTTAATATCAATTGCTTAGTCAACTGGTTTAATTTCCTTCATTCATGATTTCATATTGTAGATCAGCGACTTTGTCTTTTCACCGATGGTTGAGATCAAACCTTTGCATAATTTGATATAAGCTGAGTGGGTAAAGTGTTGCACTAATATAGTACTTGTTATATTAGTTCATTTTATATTTTTATTTTGTCCATTACAAAATTCACCCCTGAACTGTGATCCAAATTTGTATTCAATATCCAATCTTCGAAATCATCCAATATCAAACCCATCGATAATCATTTAATTGTCAAGCCTCTGCCACTTTGACTGTCTAGTCAAATGTTATGCCCATACTTGGCAGTTTGGCACCCACGCTCTAGATGATGTGCAGATCTGAGCTATAGAAACTTTCAGGTTTTTGGTAAAACCTTCCCACCCAAACATTGCATGCTTGGCCCGTGTGACCTTTGATAAGGCCCATTGCCAAGAGAGAGTAAATTAGAGCGGCCACTACCAGTGTACAACATTTGGGCGGAAAAGTTTTTGTGGAAACCTGAAAATGCCTTAGCTCGTATCTCAGATGATGTCCACGTCATCTAGAACTTTGGTCCCACACTAGCAGAATGCACACAAGGTTTGACCTGACAGTCAAAGTGAGAGTAGGTTGTCCTTCAAAAAGTTTCCGAACTTTGGGTTGACATTGAAAGATTTTGAAAATTGGGTACTAAATGGAAATTTGCCTCATAATTCAGTGGTTTATTTTATAATTGATCCATTTTATTATCCATGGGCAATGGTCGTAATCAGTTTAGCTTTGATTTTCCTATTTTCTTTTCTGTTTCTTGTTTTGAATTAATTGAGCAGTCCTTTAAACTTGATCTCGTTTGAACTTAAAAACTGGGACGTCCTTCTAATTTACATGTCATTCGTAGTGGAATTATGTTTTCTCGCTATCCTAATCTTTTTTCTGTTTTGTAGGAGGATTTACCCGAATATCTTTCCAAGTATTGCTTATCTACATGGATGAAGTGGATGTTTGCACAATGGGGTCAGTAAGCTTCATTGGGCACATAGAATTGTTCATTTTACTCTCCAATGCCTGGACAGCTATCAATGTAAGGATTTGAGATTCAATTCAATATCCTTCCGTTTGGGTTGTTTTCCCACATCCTTTCATTTCTTCGAAAATGCCAATTTTTTTTTCCTTCCTGTTTTGGAGTAAATTAAAATAAACTTGTGTTTAAGTGGGTGGTAAACATTATCTTCCACGTCAGTAAATACAAAAGACATGGTTTGCGTGCTTGGATGACATATTTCAACCATATTTTCAACCCACGGACCAGACAGCAAGAAGCACACCCTTCTTCCTTTGTTTCGTTAAATGTGTCGAAAGAATAGCCTTCTCTCTCTCTCTCTCTCTCTCTCTCACAAGAAAAGTTTGATGTAATAATCTTATGGTTGGGGATTTGAGGGTGGTGTTAAGAAAACGAAGATACCATGAAGAGCAAGAGAAAAGTTGTGATTTATTTCCTTTTAGAGTAAATGCCAATATGCCATGGAGCTGATGAGCTAGCGGGGCAGTACCAGTTTGAGGATTGGAGTTTTGCTTTGGTTGTGTTTTTAGGATTTGTTTCTTGCATTTGGTGATTTGGGATTCATTACTGAGTGTGTTGAATTCGGTGTAGAGATTGAATTCTACAGAAGAGGTGGGTTGTGTTTGGATTTCTTTATTCCCGAAGTAATGTAGTGTCAAAACGTTTGATTAGATCATCACAAACTTTCTTTTCATGGTGGTAAACATTTCTGGATTTGGTATGTTTGCACTCCAACCAACAGTTGAGATAGGGGACCCTCGGTATTTTTACATATTGTACATCCCAAATACTTCTTTTGTCATCAGTATGCTCTATAGGGTTATTGATTTATAATGTTAGTAACAGGAGGTTCTCCTGCATAATTCATGTAGAAGAGTATTTAATAGATGTTAGTAACAAAAGGTTCTCTTTTGACACTAATTCATAGTTTAACGTTGACATTGTTCAAGTTGAAGTTCAGGGACTAAATTGAGATTCTAGTAATTGAGGGTTGTTATTGCGATTTAGTCCTTTTTTTTCCTTTAATTTTATGAGACTTAACAATTTCTTTCTCCTTTGTAGATTTGTGCCTTTTCGTCTTCCATTCTTCTTCTTTTGGCAAAATGTATCTCATATTCCTACTTTTTAATTTTTTATTATATACTGTAGGGAATGGGTTATATGGCATTCACTGTGAAGCTAATTTAAAATTTAAAACATATGTTTGCAATAATTGCCCCTTAAGCATGGTGCTTGATGGCTTTGCATTAAGAGGCTTTATATTTGGTTCTTATTGTGTATATTGTTACCTTCTCTGACATTTATACTTGTATAATTTCAGGTGATAAATGAACATGGAAATATTCTGTTATACAGTCCCTTGATGCATATAAGAATGAATTTAGCACTGATCCTAAGTATATAAAATCATTCTATTTGGTGCTGCCATCACCAATACTATGATGCTCATTTTTGTGCAAGATTCTTATTGAAAGTGCTATGCCGAACAAGCATAATGTCCTCTTGAATTCTTAACGGCGTAACAACCTCCGGCCAATGTCGTCTTGTCTTCAAGTCATAGTTAACAGTCCATAGTTAATGGTACCTGAGTCAATGGCCAATGTCATCATCTCCATGTGGTTTCCACAAGGTTATACGCATTTAACAAGAAATACTGGTACTGGAGTAAAAGATTATCGTCTTAATGGTTTTATCGAAACTCTGGATTCTTTTTTCACTGATGAGAATTTTTCGCATGACATATTTGGATTTTCAGTGTATGCGTTTTGAGCTACTGCCTTCACAATTCTGGCTGAAGTCGTACTATCCAAAGATATTTGCTTGTCAGGTTGGTCTTTATGCTTCTTAAAGACAGTAGCTTGGTGTGAGTGCAAGTTGAGTTTCGCAGAAGAAATATATATATTTTGAAAAGGTGTTTCGTAGAAGAAATATTGTCATATGTTTCCATATCTCATGTATCACCCATACGATGACATGTATATGTTGGTATTGTACCTGGTGGATGAAGGCTTGTATGACATATAGGGCTGCTTGTATACATGTTCATCTGACTTTGACAAAACTTCAGATTGAAGACAAGAATCCAATCCTTATGGCAACAAACTTGAAAGAAGTTTCTACGGGCTTGTGGCAAGAAGTTATTCTTTCTGAGATTGAAGCAAAACTGTCGACCTCTTAATTTGCAGCACGGCTAGTTCCCATTCTTCTAAGAATATAAAGGAGAAAGTTGGTAATCGTCGTTCTTCAGATGGTAGCAAGGATGCAAATTTAAGTTAACCTGTCATGAGAGGTTCGATGACTTTCTTTTCAAGTATTCATGATATTGGTGACTATAGTGACAGGCTTGTTTGAAGTTTGCATGCTTGCTATTATCTAAAGCGCAGTGTTTCCAAGCTTTCTCTTTTCTTATTTTATTATATCATAGACTTGTCCTTGTGCAGATCAAGAGATGGACAACCTGCCCTTTTTTTTCCCCCAGAATTTCTCTCGTCTTATTTTAATAACTTTTTCTTAAACAAAAAAAATAAAAATTTCAATCACGTAGAAACTTCTTTTAAATGCATTAGATGGAGATGGGCTCTTATCTTGAAGAAACCGTTTTGTCAGAGTTTAAAACGAGTGTATGATACAGTTTGCCCTCAATATGGTGTACAAGACTTCATCCACCAGTTGCACTAGCCTCTTATGCATATCCCCCTGTGGGTAGTGCGTGGGATATGTGAACTAAAGACGTGTGTGATGTAAACACAAGATCTGATATATTTTACTGTTGTAAGCTTGTAACATGCGTAATAATATTGATGCGTGTTCAGAGTATTGCTATTTCCACATATTTGTCCTTTAGATATAAATGTTAATGATACATGTTGGGTTTGGGTCGGTAACTGAACCGAAATGAAAGAATCGATGAACCTACCGACATGCATTGGTATAGTTGGGGTTGTAAGGTGAAACCATAATCCAATCTATGTTGCGTCAACACGAATAAGGCGATACGGAGACGGAGAAAAGGCAAATCTCAAAAAAATAGGACACGGGGGGTGTGGACACGGTAATTGAAAATAATAATTTATAATAATACTTATCTATATTTAAAAAAGAATAAAATATTGATGTTCATTCTCCAATTTCACAATACTACAAAACTTGGACTTAGTGTCCGAGTGTCTAAGTGTCCAACACTTGGACTTAGTGGAGTGTCCGTGCAACATAGATGCCAACAATAGGTAGGAGAGCCCATAAACAAAATAAAGGCCCACAAAATGAGGGCGACCATATTAGAAACCTTAGGTCTATCTAAAACCCATAACAGCCGCACAACTCTTCCATATTAGCCGCACAAGTGACGCTGCTACCTAATAGCGCCACCATGTACCTCCCAATATCAACCTTAAAATCTAAGAAAGTAAAAGATGTTAAAAGTGGAGAAGACAAGTCATGTGACATGATTTCGCTCAAGATGTGAGAAATGGGTTGGAGAGGGAGACAGAGAAGAAAAGGTCGGTTTTGGTAACCAACGATGTTGAAGAAAAGGTCGGTTTTGGTAACCAACGATGTTGAGAATCTAGAACCACAACCGATGTGGATATCAATTGGTTCGTCACAACAACCGAAATCGATCGTTGAGAAAAGGAGTGCTTCGGTTTTCCGACATGTTCTTGCTAGAGAATGAGTTCATTGAACGATATCAAATGAGAAATCTTGTATGAAAGTTTTAATTACATGTCATACAAGATTTCACTATTGCAATAGCACAAGGTTAATCCTTAAACCTAAGGCACCATCGTTGCCTTATCAAATTGCTTTGTCATTCCAACTGAATGGGTTATCCAAAGACCTTCTCTTTAGCTTGGATAACCATGACATGTTGCTAGACGTCACTCCCAGTTTGTCAAAGTTTTTAGAACATTTTGTAACTCGGTCCTCATCATATTGAGAATTTAAAAGGATTTTTAATTAACAATTGATAAGAAAGAGTTCAAGTATCGCCCACTACCTTCCTAATTAGAACCCAATAGATCGCACACCAAAAAGCTTGTAATTT